ACTTGATGGATTAATTCACAGATCTTGGGCTACCATGGTCAAATTATCGAGAAACAACAACTAGACTACCTGAAAGCGTATATAGCAAATGTGCACACCGCTTGCAGGATGCGAGCGTGATGATCGGTAATGTACCAAATTACCTGAAACGGGCTAGTGTACTGTATCTTATGACTAATGTGGTTTAATTGGCCCGGGGACTACCTGGGCAACTGGCCCTAACTGGCCGAGTCGATGATGGTGATATTAACTTTGCGGACCAACGGGAATAATATCTGCTCTGATAAGTAGCGTAGTCGAATACTGTTGACTTTGTTGAGTTATGTTGAGCAACGCACTTACATCGAATGGACACCTGTACTCCGTACTCCGACGGGGAATGATATTCATTATTATTTTATGTCCTCCCGACCACCGCCGTAAGTGGAGCAGCTAGTAACACTTCCTCCTGCCAATTATTGAGTCATTTTCTGGTTCATTGTGAAGAAACGTTCTCCACTTCCTACCTATATTCGCTGGGGACCGTGACCGTAAGTTAGATCTATATAACATAGATGTAAAGCGAGAGATAGATGCGCCAAAGAAATTCAGATACTAGTACGCTAAATCCGGGGTCATCTGCAAGGGGCAATCTCAGATAAGAGATCTGGCGGAGTTAACACTTCGTCATTGCATAGCCTTGAAGGAGCAGGTGTCAATAACCGGGGGCTGGTGTTGCTACAACAATATAGCACTCTAGTATATATTTTAAGGTACCCCATTCTATGATCTCTTTATTGGAAATAGTAGTGGCTTGGAAACTATAAGTTAAATGACCGGCGATTCAGTCGGAACACAACGGGGTCTTGGCTTTGGCGCTAGAAACGCGGCAGAAGCAGTTGGGCAGCTTCCATTCCTTAGCGCCCTCAAAAGACACTCAAAGAAATAGGCTAACAATAATACTCCATACAACATACGGAGTACTCCGTACCTTAATTATCATTAAATACGTACCTCGGTAACATAACTAACTAAGTAATATATTAGCGGAAAACCCGCGTACTCCGGGCACGATGAAACATTCTGAACTTCCGAGGCTCGGCATCGCCCGTTAGTACTTTGTACAACATACATATAAAGAACATGGGTAAAACTACCCCGTAGAAGCTAAGTCATTTCTTACTTTGAGCTAAAACTAACAATTGAAGGTCCGTTTCTGTTCATTCGGGTTTATTTCGGGCTTCGTCGCCACCCCGCGTAGTAATCAACATTGCCGGATCAGGCCATTATGTATCATCATTTCCCGATGACTTCACAAGCCCAACCTGTTTCCTTATTTACAATGTATTGGGGTAGAACGAGCTGTACAGTAATATACCCCCAACCCCCAAAGTAATTAAAAGTGAGACATTTCGCAGTTGAGCCAATCTATACCGCCTATATACGGATACCCAAAAAGGAGATCCTTCCCAAAAGCATCGCTCCTGTGTTTCATCTATGTGTCGGTGTAGTCCGCATTTCTGAACCAATAATTATGTTGTAATTCGTTGATATTTTATGTGTATATCGTAGGATTCGTCTCACAACGGTACGGTGCAAGTGTAACAACATCGTCTCTACTCTACTCGCTGCGCACATCGAAGGCGGATGGTGTCCCCTTTACCCTACAGGCATCAAGGCTCATTCCCTGTACTCAGCTCTCACTAGATAACCCTAGGAATCATAATAGGCCAAAAACTGGCCGGTATTATGCATTATAATATCGCTGCACCACTTTTATTGAGTCATGATTACAGCGTCGTACTTTATAGTTCTAGATCTGCAGTCTGATTCAGGCTGATATAATCTTTCAATATCCATTGCTCCGCTTGTCTTGGCTGTTCCCACCAGAGACGGTAGCCAAAAATAGCATGTCACTTTCAAAATGCACGACACGGGATAATTGAGAGTAGTATTGGATCAACGACGTGTAACATACAACTTAAATATACAGATTGATCTATATAGCGAGATATATCAGTTCTCCACGTTCATTCAATATTGCGAGAATAACATCAAGTCAGATATACGAAGTTTGCCTAAACGCCGACAAATACTATTTAGTTAACCCTAAATTCTAGTTACTGCACAGAGAAGCATCAAGTCTTAATGTGTGTCCTTTATGTATGCAGACTCGGATAAAATGGGGTCATTTGATTTCTCGACCCTATAGTGTCTCAGCGGACTAATGACTGCTGGCCACCTTTTTACAAGTATGATATACATAATCTAAAGATTTAAAGCAGGATTATATGATGGCATTGCCAGTGCATAGGAATCATACGGATAGTTTTCGTTTTGCTACAAAATTAGAGCTTTATGAATGAGTATGGGTCATGGGCAGTTTCCTCATGAAAAATGAGTCGTCCTAAGATTATGAGATGACTCTAAATGGGCACTACAGTGACATGACTCTTACAGAAACTCTGTAGTAACATATTCTAGAGCGATATTAATATTGATCTGAAGTTGTATTCAAGCCCAGGAAATTTACATTTATCGCCAACTTACATCTTACGCATTTGAATTCCAGGTATTTAACTAGTGCTATTATCACCTTGGAGGACTTTGGGAAGACCATTTAGGGATGGAAAAATAACTAATTAATGGCAAGTCTTATATATGGGAACCGGCTGCGAGGGAGGTATCTATTACCGTCTTCGTTAGTTGACCCTGAAGTACCTTGTGTACGGAGCAGCTAGCTATATTGTAAAAAATATATTTCATTATCATCCCCTACACTCTCACTCTTTGGCTATACCAGACCAATTAGTTTTGACGCCTCGGGTCGTGCGTCGCAACTTTTATCATTATGTATTCTTCGACTACCGTCTTCTTCAAGTTTGATATCATCGTGGTAGAGCAGGTTGGGTGCTGGACGCACATTTGGATGGTATAGAGTCCACTGAGCTGTTCGCATCGTTCAAATGGTCGTAATCCCTGCTCTAGACTTTCACGGGAGTCTGATACCTTCCGATGTGGCGTACGTGCACATCGAGGACAACCCCGATGTCGTGGGGGTACGTAGGGAACTCGTAATTGCAGTGGTCGTCGGTATAGAAAATTTATATTCTCCTGCGCTTTCCTACTTACAGTATCCAGAAGACGAAACTCTCGTGGTTGGCAATGCGAAGTCTCTTTTGATGCGCCGAATTTTGGAACTCGCAGCTAGCAAGATTCATATTATATATTTGGTGCGCAACTAGGTCTCCAAACAGCGCGAAGTTTACTGAAGATTGCGGTGATAGATCAATATTCATGTGTGGTATGGTTTGGATCCCGTCCCTGTTCCCGTTCGCGGGGGCTTTGTCTGTGGAAATATTTGTAGTGAAATGACAAGTGGAAGCATCATCTGGAGGAAGAGGTTAAGAATGTGTCTCAGGCTTGAACGTCGGTGAATATCAAACTCATAACGAGGGCGTTGCGATTAAGATGAGATTAAGGGCCAAGTCCCCGAAGCATCCTATGCGGTTGATCTGCGAGGACGATGTCACTTTCATGAATTGAATGAAAATTTCAGACTTTCATTGGGAAGTTGCTCTTAATTTTAGAAGCGTAAGCAGATAAACAATGTTGTATACAGTCCTCGAGCTATATCTTGAAATACCTCAGACGGAGGAACACAATCATTGCCCCTTTCCTAAGAGTCGGCGGTCTGAAAATGTATATAAGATAAATGGATAATATCGGACATTTCCTAAGCAAATTCAAAATAAAGTACGTGCAGTCCCCACGAGGCTCGCAAACAAAGCATCTAGAGGGGGGGAAACGGGTACTAAAAGTAAAGCACAGTAACACAGATCTATTACTCACAGAACCAGGGATATTAGCAATTGACCCGTGAGAACCTTAGTGCTAGCCCAAGCCCTGAGTACCTAGACAGGTACCTAATTCTAGCCAACTCGAATCTTGAAAAGCCACTCGGCTAATTCTCCTTTTTACAGTCCATCTCGCGTAACACCTGTCATGTGGTTGAAATTAGTGGGTCTTATTGGTCACGGGGACTTGAAATTTTGAACCGAAACTATATAGTAGTAGGCTAAATAGTGCATCGTATGTTGTAGGCCCGCATTCTTCCTGGGGAATGAGAAATGTGCGGGGAAGTAAATAATAAGTTGATGAGGGGTAAAGGGGGGAAGAGCAGACCGTCTTACCGGAAAGAATGAAGACTAGAAAATCCAGCTAGCAATTGTGGGCCAAGAATGGTCTTAAGTCGAACAAGCCAATCTAATCCATGAAACAATCAACGTGCAAGGAGGGATCAATAAAAGAAAACAAAATAATTGTGGACTGGTAAGCTATCGTAGTAAGACAGGGAGGCTTGGCAGGATTCGCAGCCCATATACACATCCACGACATATAATGGGCACTGTTGCCTGGCCGTGGAACATTGTCCGCGGTGACCCCGTCAATCCCTACCCCAGCCAAGGCGGGAGTATCAGATTGCACAAGGCTTGGCGGGAAATCATCATCTTGGCAGCACTTGGCAAGCATTTAGGGGTCTCCCTAGCGTCCGACAGGACGGGGATTCCTCTATTCCGTACAACCTTGTATTTTAGTCAGGTGGGCTATGTAACTAGTGTGCACAATTTGGCGGCAAAAGTGGGGTGGAAAAGAATCACGCGGATGGTTTGAACTGTTGTTCATTGATTGCTAGCTGGCCGAATGGGGCAATACAGATGCTTCCCAGAGGCGAAAGACGTAAGAGTGTAGACAAATTCTGAATGAAAATCATATGGCAATTTGAAAGCGCCACGAAAAAAAAAACACCCCTATTGATTTTCCTGCCCTATCCCATGATAGGGTGGTCCCAAAGCTCCCGATTGGAGTCGCTCAATTTGATCAAGATTGCAAAAGAAAGAAGAAAACAAGAAAACACATGGTAAGCTCAATTATGGATCAGTTGCTGTGACGGTGAAATATCCCGAAATAGGATGAAAAAAGGAGACCAAACCACTAGGCCGGCCAATGATAGAGAGTACCTAGTGCTGCTTCTTGCCATGGCCAAGGTAGAGGAAACCGGGCGAAAGGGCAGCAGTGTCATCGAGGGAGACTGAAGAGTCGGTAGAGACAGAGCTATTGGTGCGGGCACGGTTGGCAGGAGCCGGCACAGTGTCCTCCTCGTTCGAGCTGGTCTCAATTTGGGGCTGGTCTTCCCAGACGCGGGGATCCGGGCCACATTCGATGGGAGACAAGACGAGGAACTTGTTGGCGGGGTAGTAAGGGCCAGACTCAGTGGCGGAGAGGACCAAGAAACGGTGAGTGGCAGTGTAAGTGTACATTCTGAGAAAACTTTTGAAGGATTTGTGCGGAAGAAGTAGATCGGTTAAAAGACGGGATATTTCGGGATTGAAGGAGAGTTGTAGATGGATTGTTTTGGATGAAAGTGGGAAATCTCAGGGAGTTTCGACCTAGCTTATATAGTCCAGACTGAGATAAGCCAAGAGGGAGGACCGTAGAGAATGAGGGGCATGCTGTATCAATGATAAGCCCGAATCACGCCGATCCAATGCCGATCCAACGCATCCAGCACATCATATGTACGGAGGAGTGGATACGAGGTCCCCGCCATTATCGTCCGTTTAAGCCCAGAAAGGAGAATCCCAAATATGCTGGGGAGATTCACATGTCTTGGCCGAAAAAAGGGGGGATCAAAGCCAAGAGTTCACTATTGACCTTTTTTTTCTCTGAATGCTTCGACCTCGCCTCTCTTGGCTCTGGCATAGTCGCACCAGAGTCTGGGCGGCTGACAGTCATTCCCAGCAGCCATGGCGAATATGTATAAGCGTCATCGCGCGATATGCCGTTGCCAGCCGAAACTCAAGGACCTCGGAAGATCAACAGCCAGGATGTGGGGCCGACACACGAAAACTCATGGCTTCCACAGGCTCCCGTATGCCTCCACACCTATCCTGTATGTGTTGTTAATAATGGTCTCGGGTGGAAATCCTTACGCATTCCGAATTATCTCGTCGATAATCCTCTTCGCCAATCATTCCAACCGCTGCATGGGCGCTTGGGCCACCGGCTATGCTGGGGTATTTTGATCTCCCCGGTCTTTTCTCTTAGGGGCCCTGATAGCGATAATTTCGCTACTCTTTGCAGGAAGAAAGACACAAATGTGACATCATATTCCAATGTTCCAAGAATCGAGTCGAGATATCGTCAACAGTCTAGATTCGAGTAGTCGTCACTCTGGGATATCACTTACTCCATGTGAGAAGCAAATTGTTTCAAGCGGATCTCCTAGGCTAGTATTTCAAACAGATAAGAAACAGATTAGATTTTTCATTTCCATGGTTCCTCCCCAATGTTTATTTAACCTTGAATCTGAACCTTGGAAACACTCCTCACGTGGTAAAACCCTCATGCAGTAAAATGCAAACATTAACCTTTGAAGTAATTTTCCGTTCTTACTTTTCTCCGCTCTCTGCAATGCCTAAAAGTTACAAACCAACAGCGGCAAAGCAGACTGCTCAGCAACTGCTCTCGACCTATCGATTGCGCGCTGTGCCTTGCCGCCACTAGCCCCGCGCGTCTCTACTCGCTCGGAGTAAATCTTCCGGTGGGTCGGTGCCTCAGCAAGGGGAGAGCCTCAGTCGAACCCATATGAATGCTACTGTGCCTTGGCTGAGGAACTTGGTGCTTCTCGCCAGTCTTTAGCGCTCTAGAATCAACTGATAGGCCAGTATTGGTTTATTTTTGCCTAGGCCCCACAGCACGATCGCGCTAGATTCGACAAAGAATGCCTCTTGGCTGATATCGCACCCCGGCGACACCGGCCATACTAACCATAGCAAGTCCGGATTTTCTTGGCTGGAATTGTTCTTATCCTTTACTCGCTGAACTCATTATTATTAAGAAAAAGCCTTGTCACCATGCAGTCTTTCGCATTGTAATCGCGCAGAACTTGCGGTAATCACCAACTGCGCCATAGAGATGAGCCTTATTCGCCTATATCCACAAGTCGAAGCCCATTGCAATAGAGTCAATGAAGTCATCTCCTGCCATATCGAGACTGAACTGGTAGAGTTTTGCTTGGAGGACTGCTTTCTTTAAATTTCGTTGGCTCTCGATGATTACTCCCAGGACCTACCTATCTAGTCCATTGCAACAACGTAGGTGTCTAGAGCCCTATGCGGGTACTCGGGTTCCCGGGGTTATATTGAATATCCAAGTATACAGAATTCGAGAAGAGTCACTGTAATCTCACAGGTATCATCCAATTGGTCACACCTCCTGCGCCGCCTACGGTGAGGCTCATAAAAAAGCTGTGGCAGTTGCCTTTCTCGGAGTATGAGCGATGGCTTTAAGGTTAGACATCAGGATCATAGAGGTTTCTTAGATGGGGCAAACCATGTTCCTGATCAACGCTTCAACCGCAGCATTGCCCTATGGGGTGCCATCGGGAGAGGGGTCCCTGTTGGCGCTCAGAACATACGCCCTAACACTGGCTGCAGCGCTTTTAGAGTGATGTCAAGTGCTTCTTGCAGCCTGCGGGATTTAGAATTTGCATCGGTAGTCATGCTTAGGGTTTGCTGCTACTAGCGAACCCCATCGAATATCTTGACTCTCCCCAATGGTACGCCACACTCTAACGGTCCACCTACCACAAACTCTACTTTCTGTTGGTAAATGTGTATGCCCTGGATATGGCGCATGTGTATACTATTTCTGTGCCTACCGTCACCTTCTCTTTGACTGCGCAACAAGTGATCATTGAGTCACTGGCTGCATATGGCGCATCTAGTTGAATGAGTTACAGCGCTTGTGCAAGGTGACTGAAGGACCGAACCATTTTTGCGACTATCGATAATTTCCTAGCTTCTTTTCTCTATTGAGTTGCGCAGGCCATTCACTTCGCTTGAGGTAGCCATCGAATACTATAAAGCCGGGCTTTGATCCTCTAATTGCTTCTCATCACATCAACCAATATCAAAAGTTCAAGGCCTCATTCAAACTCAGTGGTCTTCAATTCACAATATCTGCTTATATATCCTCTACAACTTCACCTCTTCACTCAACCCTCGATATGTGTTCCATCTACATCTTTCAGTACGCCTGCGGGTGCACGCACCAAGAAGATGGCATAGTCCCATGTGCCCATCAAGGCACTCCTGGCTGTCCAGGTGTCAAGGAACAGACTCGTACACGAGTAAACTCCAATTGCCCTCGTCACGGTGGTTAAATTGGCTTCTGACGTGAGTTGCACCTTCCATATTTTGAGACGGCTGTTGCCAGCAAGAAGTTTGACTGACGAGATACTATAGATACCAAATGACTCGGAGACTCGAGGCCGTCTGTTGCTATGTTCTAGACTGTCATCGAGTGATTGGCTTCCCCGCCCTGTCTATGTCTGCTTCAGGGAAGAAGAAGATATCACTGTGTCACATCTACTATTTGGAGGCTATCTCATTTGTTGCCTCACATCGGTCATTCTGGAATTCGGGCTATCGTTTGACTTTTTATGTCCTTTCTGTCATTGTTTGCCGGTGGTTCTCTGTGTTGATATGTCTATCTACGCGTTCTCGGATCTTCCTCTCCTTAGACAATACCATCTTGTGGACAAATTGAGAGACCACAAAGCTGTGTTTTGATATGCAGTATATCATGCTGTCCTGGTTTTATGAAAATCTTTTTGTATTGCCACACAATTTTATCTCAATGGCTGGTATAGTGGCCGATGTATGTCATTCCAATATCCAATATAACACAGCAATATCAAGCAAAAGGAAAATATATCTAGCTTTGTAGAAATACATAGGCTATTCAACTGTCTCTTGACTCTCAATGATCCATAAGCTTGCACAAATTGTCGACAAGTCCGCTGTGTCTTGATACTTACCGAGTAGTAGCTTAAGGCTCGTAATGCTAGTAAGGCGTTGCTGATATCCTTCTGTCTGGCTCAGAGAAGAGAAGGCCCGTAGCGAATCCTCCGACTGTAGGTATCCACACACAGTGGAGTAGAGCTTGCTGTTGAGCTGGACAATCAACCACAATTCGAGTCGCGTCGGGCGAAACTTTCTAGTGGCAAGAAGAAAATATGTCACTTCCTTTTCTAAAAATAGCATCCATTGTTGCTTGTCCGTGTATATAACCGAACAAATGTGCAGCAATAATATGACGATATAGCTAACCACCAGGGATCTTCGTTCTCGCATCTGCCCTGCATACAAGCAATGCGAGACAGGTGCCACCTCAGTTCCAAAGGCTCCTTAGAAGGTAGTGGTCGTTTATACTTATTGTCGGTCTTCACCGTGAAGACATATCCGGGAAAGTGATGTTGGGAGCAGACCAGGAGGTCACGTCCGAACAGATATGCAACCAGCGACAAAGATCTTAGGGTCGATGCAGAGTCGCAAGCAGGTGTTTACTTGCATACTTAATTTCATTCAAGTTTCTGCGTTTGCGGCGTCACGATCGGGTCTCTCAATGGTCTTGTCGACCAGGTGGTGTAGACCATAGCTTTCCGGGATTTTCGTCACCATGCTGTACCACCTTCGGGAGAGGTTCCATCTTGTACAGCGCAAACATCCCAACTGCGGGTCTCACGAGGTCGGTACGTTAGATCCTGGTATAGGTTCACCCCCTGGGAGGCAGCTAATGAAACGCAATTTGCATCTCTGTTTGGTCCTCACTGACTCCAATAGGGCAGAGTGTGTGACTCTCTTGCCGTATGTGGAAGGAATCATTCCTTCCATAAATGACAAGCGAGTAAAATCCTCATATGCATGGTTTGACTGAACAAACCATACAACCGTCAGATAAGATGAAGAAGGAAAGAAGAAGTAAGTGCAAGAGTGGGAAGCAGCCTTCTTATATAGCTCTTCTTCAGATTGATCTGACACAAAGGTCCCCTACTATTGGTTAGCGGCTGCATTCTAAAAGACATCAAAAAAGACCTCAAAAAAACAGATAGAAAGACCGATAGAAAGATCAGAAATAATCTTATGCTTCTAAGGGCTTGTATAGGTTGGCGCGATGGACCCAAAAAACCTGCCGTACAGAGCCTCAAACTGTGGGTCATGGCGTAATTCACCGCCTCTCCATTTACCCCTCAATTGTTTATATTATCCAGCTTCATATCCCTTCCTGAACGTTGCTAAAGCCGTATTTCTAAGGTGTCTTTTTGCTCAATTTTCTGCCGAGTGAAAACGCCATCTAGGCAACCACCGAGCTGGTTGGCTGAGTCGGAAATATACCTTTGCCGGGAGCCGTGTTCTAACATATCCCCAGCCCTTTCCTTCCAGCAACCTATTTTCCCAGCAACCTTCAAAGCTGTTAGCTATTTTTAATATCCCTTGGGCTAAACGATGGCCAGCAATAGCTTTTCGGATGTCAATTATCGCATCCTGGAGCTTGAGGAGAAATTAAGACAGGCAGAAGAGGGCCGTCGACAGGCAGAAGACGAGGCAAGAAAGGAAAAAGAGCGCACTCGACCGACCACTTTCATGGAACTCCTGCGCTCTTGCCACTCCCTACTCTCCCTTCCATTGAGAGTCGGGGAAATATCCGTGTCGACCACAGGTCAAATACCCGCCCCCACTGGAAAGTTTTGCCCGACACGACTCGAATTGTGGGTTGATTGTCCAGCTCAACAGCAAGCGCTCTACTCCGCTGTGTGTGGGTACCTACAATCGGAGGATTCGCTGCGGGCCTTCCCTTCTCTGCACCAGATTGAGGGATATCAAGAACGCCTTACTAGCAAGCCGATCGATAGCGAGAAGGGCATAGAGCATTACGAGCAGTACGCTGTGGAATATCCAGTCAATGATATAATCACGGTATTGAGCAAACTTCCTCTTGCTCGAGAGGAGTTCGGGCTTGGTGATGGAATCGAGTTCAGCTCTCATATAAATGCTTTGAACGCCGAAGCTGTTGGGGCGGATACAAGTCAGCCCTCGAGCATACCCAACCCAAAACCCGATCAGTTTTGGATCCGTCGTATTGATGGAAACACCCAAAGCATCCTCACGACGGTTGAATATAAACCCCCCCACAAGCTTTCGGTGGAAACTCTTCGTTTAGGGCTTCGACCAATGAACTTATGGGAGAAGATAGTCTATACTAATACAATCCCTAACGACGTCGATGGAAAGGCTAGGTACAATGCTGAGCGACTCGCCTGCTCCGCTATTGTCCAGGAATACCATGTGATGATTCAGAAAGGACTCGAATATTCCTATGTGACGAACGGGATTGCGCGTGTCCTACTCCGCGTTCCATACGACAACCCTAGTACATTGTACTACTTTTTCTGTGATCCTAACAGAAAAAGCGAACCGAACTTTCAATTTCCGAATACCTCAATTGCTCATGTACTATGTCTTTGTCTGATGGCATTCCGATCCCCTGTGCGTGATCAGATATGGAGATCTAATGCGCGGTCGGTGCTCCGTACTTGGAAAACCAACTTCGACCATACTCTTTCTGAGATTCCCAAGGAAGAATTACAGCAAATCCCTCGATCCTGTGAAAGTAGTTTCCACTCTGAGGTTACGGATCCGGACTCCAGTACCGACTATCACCCGTCGCCTCAATCTGGTTCCTCTCCTCAATCTAATGCCCCTACGGAAGAAGGTCGTCAGTCGTCTACAAGCTCTCAACCTGCCGGGTGTGCACCAACGGATGACCGACACCGTGCGGAGTCGCCAAACTCATCAGGTTCCGATACGAACCAAGAAAGGCGAAAGCGCCGCATCAGTCAAGTCACATCCTCCCCGTCTACTCGGCAAGAGCCTAGAAACGACCGAAGAGGCCAGTCATATCGCCACGATGCGCAATTTTGCACTCAGCGGTGTTTACTCGGGCTACAGACTGGCGGTACTCTAGACGAGCATTGCCCAAACGTGTCACTTCATCGACAAAGTCCAGATGATCATAAACATCCTATCAATGCAGGAGATCTAGTGCGTTTATTGAAAATCCAACTAGGTGAGAACCGTGACAAAGACTGTACGCCTTTTGGAACATGTGGGTCATATGGTGCGCCATTCAAACTTACATGTACTGCCTATGGCTATACGGTCGTTGGAAAAGGAACAACTTCGGGGCTTTGGAAGGAAGTCTCCCGCGAAGCAGAAATTTACCAGATTCTTCGCAAAGTCCAAGGGTCCGCAGTACCTGTTTTCCTCGGTACTATCGACCTGTTAGTGGACTACTACCATGATGCGGGAGACATTTCTCACATGCTCATTATGGGCTGGGGAGGTGAGAACATAGTGCATATGGAAATGACCTCGTTGCTTCGCCGGGAGATTCACCGGTCGAAAAGGGAAATTCGCAAGCTGAGGGTTACTCACGGGGATCTTCGGGATCCAAATATCCTTTGGAACCCTGAACTTAACCGAATATTGATCATTGACTTTCACAAGTCTAAGTTGGATCCCCGGCCATTATCAAAACAGTCGGGACCCATGAAGAGAAAATCGGATCAGACAGAATTATCGGATGGAAAGGACGGAAAGGATGGAAAGCGTCTGCATATGATTTGTGAATGAAATGTGCTTACATCCGGCTCTACGGTGGATGGGAGAATGTTTTGAAGTTATTGGTATGAGTGTATCCAGAGAGGAGGATGGATATTAACCCTCTTAGGTAGTAATTAGTGAGCGCACAGTGAATATATTATATTTCCTAGCACTTCGTCAATCACTGCTTCGGATGTAGTTGGTATCGATGGAACTGGCCGGAATGTCATCATGTACTCCGTATATCACGTGGTGATACCGTCACGGGCTCCCGAGGTCCTCCATCTCCCCTGATATGTACAAGCATCAAGTGCTATAGCATTGCATATGTGATGTCAATCGAAGTCGACTGGGCAGCTGCCACCTCCGGCCCGGACGGGGAAGCCCTAGCAGAGCGAATCCGGTCGTTCGTACACGAAAAGTTCCAGGAGATCACCCTACCGCGCTTTATTCGCTCGGTTCAGGTTCACTCCTTCGATTTCGGGACCATCGCGCCAGATCTCGAGATCAAAGACTTCTGCGAACCGTTCGCGGATTTCTACGAGGAAGACGATGATGATGCCGATACCTCCACCTCAGATGAGCTCATGTCCGAGCTCCAAGAATCCCCATACGAAGACGACATGACCTTCAATCCCACCGCGCACAGCCTTCATAATTTCAGTCACCATCCATACCCCGGTGAAGGCTTCCAGCCATCCGCGCTTCGATCCCCACTAGGCGATCACCTTAATCCGCATTTCATGCCGCGCGCCAGTACACCTGGAATTCCCGGCGGTACGTCAACATTGGGGTACCACATGCGGTCTCTAGGCGGTCTATCAGGAAACCAGACACCCCTTGCTGCCGTAGCAGGCGGCACTCCATTTGCGAGCGGATGGTCAGATTCAGGTATGGGTGCCGGACCCAGGTCCCAAGCAGCCCGCCCTGCTGGTACACATCACCTCGCAGAGCCAGACCTGGGCACCACCAATTCCGGCTCCCGCCCCTTAACCGCAAATACACTCTCCTCCCATCCTTCCCTCGGCCACACCGGCAGCAGTGGGTCAAATCCGCATACAAGCGACCCAACCGACGCGCCGCAGCCCTCAATAGAGATATCAGACGACCCGGCCGCCGAGCATCAATCGTTCCCCATCCCGCCGCGCATGCGCGAGCGCCGCCCGGAGGACTTCCAGGTGCTGTGCCATGCTAAGTATGCTGGCGACGTGCGCATGTCCCTGACCGCGGAGATCCTGCTTGACTACCCGATGCCCAGCTTTGTGGGGCTGCCGTTGAAGTTGAATGTCACGGGCATCACGTTTGACGGTGTTGCCGTTGTTGCGTATATCCGCAAGCGGGTGCATTTCTGTTTTCTTTCTCCGGAGGACGCAGATGCCCTGCTTGGATCTGAACAGTCTCAGAGCAGTCAAAATCCCAGTGATGATGGTCGGCCTCGGTCTGGGGGCGATCAGAAGGAGAAGGATCTGAAGCGGCAGGGTGGGTTGTTGCAGGAGATCCGGGTGGACAGTGAGATTGGTCGCAAGGAAGATGGGAAGCAGGTATTGAAGAATGTTGGGAAGGTTGAGCGGTTTGTGCTCGCGCAGGTCCGAAGGATCTTTGAAGAGGAGCTGGTATATCCTAGCTTTTGGACCTTCCTGGTTTGATATTTCTATATGCCACAGCCGTGATCGGCTGGTTCTTATACATACTATGTAATTTACGATCTCTAGACATGACAATTCTTGGTCTGGTCCTTAGCTTTTGATGCACTGGACACTCGCGGCTATGACGGGGATCAATAGACAATTGAATATGAAAGGGTAATATTGATTGAATATGACAAGTGCTACAGAATCAGCACTATGGATCCCACCGAAAAACCTTAGAAGATATTTGCTAGTACATGGAAAGGAATACAGCGATAGGAACCAATTGCAATTCCCACATCTCCCTCTACATAATAGTAGAGTCCATACATCGAGAAAGGGTAGTTACGCACAATACTTAATCCATAATGTATCAAGTGATTTTGTTGCAGAGAGGGTTCCAACTCCCTTGACAGGGAATGAGACCCTCAATCCAACGCAAACGTAAAGGTGCGCGAGTGAAAGTCTATCAAAGCTTGGGCTTCGACAGTCTGGGTCCGGTGGAATCGAACAATGCAACCCTTTTACAGGTCTTTCTTGTCCTTCTCGTTCTTATCACCCTTTTCGTTGGAAATCTGGTCACCCAGGCTGTGGTACTCGCGGGTCAGACCCTCACACTGCTTCTTGAGAGTCTCAATATCCCGGTTCTTGGTGGCAATGATCTCCTTAAGACGACCGATCTCGCCGACTGAACCAGCCTCCGCGATACGGGCTGAGTCCTTTCCACCGGCCTTCTTGTCGCCCTCGATGAGACGGACGCGGTCCTCAAGGCGGAGAGTCTCGAGAATCATGGTATAGGTGCGGTTGAGGATCAGGGAGAGGAACAGAGTGAATCCACAGAGATACATGTTGCGCTGCGAGTAGAACTTGCGGGCCTGGACCTCCATGCGGTCGGTACCGAGGTGGGCGGCTCTGTTGGTAACAATGGTTAGAAATTTTGCTAGAATGCCTGAGGATTGATTACTTACCCCATGCCGGGACCGTCCTTGGCGAAGGCGGACAGCTCCTGCTGCACACGGTACACACGGTTCACGGAGTCGATGAACAGAATGAGGATGAAGATGAATGTAATCTGGAGGCCAGTTTAGCAGTGTAACCGGAAACGTGGTTTCAAATTGGCAATATACCTTCAGTCCATATTGTAATTTGGCTATGATCGGGCTCTCCGAGATGAAGGCAAACAGCTTGCGCTTAACGACATGAGGGAGAGGGATGACGAGGGCCAGGAATACACCCATCTCGAACACCAGAAGGAGGAATACCTATATGAGGGCATTGTGTTAGTTCATCGATAGGGTGGAGACGCTTGGGCTGGGTAGACAGTTTCGGGCATCAGGCTGCAACGATTCTCGAGAACTTCTTGAGAAACACAACAAGAAGCAACTAGAGAAGGAACTTGTCAGGCTTACAAGGGAGTAGTAGAGAGTCATTGTGCTGTGTGTTGTCAATCAGCGACACTTATAAAATCGAGTTTCTGGATTAATCGAAGGGGCGGGGTGTTGAGAGCTTCAGAAAGACAGCTGAGGGGTGAAGGTAAACAAATGCGAGAAGCAGCAATTCTGTAGTAAACAAGCAACAAACACAGAAAGACTAAAGCAATAGAGATTCTTTGGACCAAAGAGGGGAAGCAATTGAAGCTCGGGAGGATTAAGAGACGAGGTGGTCTTATGGGGAAGTTTTTCAGGTTCGAGGAAGACGTCATGGCCTCGGAGGCTCTGCACGTGATGCTGTCACCAACCCTAAGCAGGATTCTAAGATTTATTGACTTCGCTCGTTCCTGGAACGCGTTGGCTTGCGTGTATAGTGCCTTAGTTTGATTGGAATGCTCTATTTTCTACCAATAAGTTCAATCATAATGCTATGTATAACACTGAAGTTTAGTATATGTCGTCATGGCAGCGGGATCTACATTGGACAGTCGAAGAAGCTACAAGCCTTGTAACTAAGTCTTGGCATTGTTGGTTACGTAAGGCTTCATTTTGCATTATGTAATCATACTTAGACCGGCAGAATTCTAAAAGACGGTATAAGAATCAAGCCAATAGAATTAGCAGAATTAGCGAGTATAAGTTGGGACTAGGCCTAATTAGGGAGACTTCTCCAGACTCGGGAGCTTCCAAGGCTTAACTATGGTATTATCTAAGCAATTAATCCGGAGTAACGTAATCGGTAAGCGAGCCGCCACTGTAAGCGAGCCGCCACCCTACCCAAGAGTATAGTTTTCTAAGGAATATATTTCAACCAAAACGCCATTAAATTAATTAAACTAAAAAGGATCATTTATCTAAACACCTATTGATCTTATGCCCTATCTTTCCACACCCACTACACCTTGGTGCAGCCCGTGGTCGTGGTTCCAACCCTGATTGAGTGCTTCCGTCCGGGGGGTGTAGGGGTGTTTCTGATACTTCCACTAGTCCAGCAATTATTTCAGAAGCTTCTTAAACTAAGAGGCCTTCTTCGGCAGGTATCTGCCGTCTAGATCTAGCCCGCTTTTACTTCTTATTCTTATTTTTATCCTGTAAATCCTTATTTTCTTTTGCTAGTAGAATAGTACTATACATTACAATCTAGCAGCCTTTGACAAGTTAATCTAATATATACTTAGAAGGGCTTGTTAGGCTTCGAGATTAGGTATAAAGTAAAGCTTTGATTAACGAAGCCTATTGATATAGATCTTTACTATTAAAAGGGGTTTTTAGGGTAAAATTCCGGCTTAAATCGCTACCCCTACTAGGAGGGGGGGTTAGTATTCGAAGATAAATATTAAGTTTTAAAAGTACCCGATTAGGTGAAAAAGGTATTAAACCAGCTGCTAAGAAGCTATTTTTAATTATCTCTAATTTTAAAGCTTTAATTCGTATAGAGGGGTATACTTCTAGGAACTTAAGTTTATTAATATAGTTAATCCTAGTCTATATTTTTATCTTAACTAACCGGCTGTATAACCGTTTTACTACTATAAAATAACCGATATCAAGGGGTTATAAAAGGTAAGATAAATACAGTAGTATATAAATTAGTATAATCTTATTTTTCTTATAAATCTTATCGAATTTTAGGGTTAAATAGCTTCTATAGCTATTAAGTACTAAAAGTCGATATACTCCCTTTATATAAGAAGAAGTAGTTAGAATAAAGAGCTTTTATAGCTAATAAAGGCCTATTTTATCTAATATCTACCTATTTAGACTAACTTTAAAGTACTAGTTATTAGGAAGGCCTTTAAACTATAATTTAAGGAAGACCTTACCTTTAAAAATAATATATAGAGGGAGGGCCTATCCTACTAAGTTTATATATTTAATTATAGTTACCTACTCGCGATTTCTAGGTTATAAAAGTGATTTCTAACTATAGTATTTACTTCTTATTATAACCTTTACTATTATAGTTAATCCTATTATAAATCTAGTCTTATCGAAGTTATAAATATTATCTAGGTTAATTCTAAATTAAATAATAGTTTTTTAAATAAGATTAAACTATTCTCTAATGATTTTTAGGTCTTTATATTTCGTATACTTATAATTATAATATCTTAAGAACTATAAGGAAAGAGAAGGGTATTATTTTATAAAATTATAAACCTATTTTTCGCTAACTAAAAGAACTAGGGTAGTTCTATACTTTTTAAGAAGAAGATTTACTATTTCTTATACTATAGAAGGCCGGGAAGCTAATCTATAAGAATCTATAGAGAGAATCTATTTTTAAAGAGATTCCTCTTTAATTACAGTTAATTTAGATAAGTTAGTATATATAGTACTTCGTTAAGAACAGCTAGAGAGGCAGTCGCGTAAAGTTATATATAGGATACTAAAAGTATATATAGTAAGAGTAATAGAGCTAATATCTCTATTTTAAAGAGCCTAGATAGCTAATAAAAGCCTACCCTCTTACTATTCTAATTTACTAGCGGATTGAGAGCGAATTAGTGGCATAGTAGGTAGTTAAACTAACTAGGTACTAATTCATAGATACGTTTTAGATAGGGTAGCGGCTCACTTATAGTAGCGGCTCACTTACCGATTATATTAACTAACTAACTAACTAACGTAATTCATATATAAGCCACTACCATATACAACCCGCTACCCTATCTAAAAACGTGTCTATGAATTAGTACCTAGTTAATTCAACCACCTACTATACCACTAAAACGCTCTTAATCCTCTAAAGATTCAATAGAGAAAGAGGGTAGGATCTTATTAGCTATCTAGGCTTTTAAGAATCAAGAATTTTCTAATATTTCTACTACTGCCTACACTTTTAATATACTATATTTAACCCTTCGGGACTACCTTAGTGGTATATAATAATATACAACTTCTTACACTAACTTAACTAAATTAACTGTAATTAAAGAGGAATCTCTTCGAAAATAGATAATCTCTATAGATTCTTATAGATCAGCCCCCTAGCCTTCTATAGTATAAGAAATAGTAGATCTTCTTCTTAAATAATATAGAACTACCCTAGTTATTTCAGTTAGCTAAAATTAGGTTATATATTTTATTAAATAGCACCCTACCCTTATATCCCGATTCTTAAGATATTATAATTATAAGTACGCGAAATATAAAGACCTAAGGATTATTAGAGAGTAGTTTAATCTAGTTTAAAAAACCATTCTTTAGTATAGAATTAATCTAGATAATATTTATAACTTTAATAAGATAGGTTTTACTATAGGATTAACTATAATAGTAAAGGTTATAATTAGAAGTAAATACTATAGTTAGAGATTACTTTTATAACCTAGAAATTGTAAGTAGGTAACTATAATTAAATATATAAATATAGTAGGGTAGGTACTTCCTCTATATATGATTTTTAAAGGTAAAGTCTTTATTAAATCTTAGTTTAACAGCCTTCTAGATAATTAGTGTTTTAAAATTAGTCTAAATAGTTAGACTTCTAATAAAATTAAACTTTACTAGCTTTAGAAACTCTTTATACTATTAACTTTATTATATATAGTAGGAAGGTATCGACTTTTAATACTTAATAGCTATAGAAGCTATTTAATACTAAAATTTAATAAAATTTATAAGTAAAATAATATTATACTAATTTATATACTACTATATTCCTCTTACCTTTTATAACCGCTTAATATTAGCTATTTTATAATCTTAAAATATATATATAGTCGGTTAGTTAAAATAAAAATATAGTATAGGATTAACTATATTAATAAACTTAACTTTCTTAAAGTATACCCTACTATATAAATTAAAGCTTTTAAATTAGAGATAATTAAAAATAGCTTCTTAGTAACTAGTTTAGTACCCTTTTTACCTAATTAGGTACTTTTAAAGCTAAATATCTAGCTTTAAATACCTACCCCCCCTCTAAGCTAGGGTAGTAACTTAAGCTAGAATTTTATACTAAAAACCCCTACTACTAGGAAAGATCTATATCAATAGGCTTTATTAATTAATACTTTACTTTATATATAATCTCGAAGCCTAATAAGTCCTTCTAAATATATATTAAACTAACTTATTAAAGGCTACTAAGTTATAATATATAACACTATTCTACTAGTAAAAGAAAATAAGGAGTTATAGGATGAAAATAAGAAGAAGAAGTAAAAATGGACCCGATCTAGAAGGCAGATACCCGCTGAAGAAGGCCTCTCTATTTAAGAAGCATCTACATTAATTATATAGTAATAAGAAGCAATTAAAGTACCTCCCCCCAGCCCCGGTATACCTAGAGAATCGACTATTCAACCATATATACGCCCCCCCCGGGGGTATAGAATATACAGATTGCCAGGGTATAGAAGAGAAATATATCCAGATAGACCACTTAGTTAGTTGATTTAATTTAATGGCGTTATGGTTAAGATAAATGCATTTAAAAACTAGATTATTGAATAGGGTGGCGGGTCGTATATGGTGGCGGCTTATATGTGAATTACGTTATGGATAGGATAGATTCGTTTGACTTATAGAGGTTTACACATTAACGGGGTCGATTTTAATAGGACGTAGCTGTATGCAACTAATAGTTACTAGTTGAACCTCAGAATGCAAGTAGATCAGCACAATTCAGTTAACATTTCCCAAGACATATATATTTCTCGGCCAAATTGAATAGAGCGATAGTCACCGGGAAAAGATTCCCCAAGTGGGGAAATTTCGGCTATTGTATGGGTAGCTGTCAGCAATCGAGAACCCTGGAAGGAACAGTTAATTACATACACAGATTGCGGACTCCCCTCCACATCGACTGTTTTTGCATCCCCTCTCAAAACCATGGCGCATAACAATCTCAGCCCCGAAGAGATCGAAAGAGCATCCCAGCTTCTAAGTGCACAAGAAAAAGCCGTCGCGCTCTTCGAGGAGATCGAACGCGATTTGGTCCGACCAGGAATCACCGAAAAGACCCTAAATGCCGAAATCTACCAACTAGGACTCGATCGCTATGGTATCAAGACCCATTGGCACAAACGAGTCATCCGCAGCGGACCAAACACCCTAAGCCCGTTCAACGATAACCCTCCGGATCGTGTCATCCAGCCGGATGATATCCTAGTTGTTGACCTGGGGCCGGTCTTCGAAGCCTGGGAAGCCGACTTTGGGCGCACCTTCGTCCTAGGAGATGATCCAAACAAGAAGAAGCTGCGGGACGCCCTGGAGCCCATCTGGAACACAGTCAAGGCAAAATATCGCGAGAACCCAGATATGTCGGGCGACGAACTATACAATATCTCCTGCCAGGTTGCGAAACAAGATGGCTGGGATTTCGGCGCGGATATTGCGGGCCATCTCGTTGGGTCGTTCCCGCATGAACGCATTCCGCGGGACAGAATCTCCCTGTATATCGCCAAGGGCAATAATGAGTCAATGGGTCTGTCGGGCCGTGATGGGTTCAAGCGTCATTGGATTCTGGAAATTCATCTTCATGATAAGGCACGCGGGTATGGTGGTTTCTACGAGCAACTCTTGACGGTTGATTAGGCTTTCTGGGGTGTTTTTATGCAAGTCATACTGCTTATTGCGATGGACGGTGGCCACATACAATTCATGGATTTTTCGCTGTTGCTTTCCGTTGAGTGTACTATGTCTGTCTTTAAAATGCGGCGGAAACAATTCATCAAGAACTTCCAACACGTGAAAGAACGAAGCGTCCTGCTAAAATATCCAGACAATGCATTCGGAATGATTCTATGTGCAGTTTTAGGATATGCCAGATTGATAGGCCTTTATTTTAGCCCTCAGCCTCGTAGGAGTTCGACTTGTGCTTGGGCTCGAACTTGAAAGTGTCGGGTGCAGGACCCAGGAACATTTCACTATAGTATCGATGAATGATTAGTTAATGAGTAGAAAAGGTTAATGAAAGAAAAGAAAACTTACGTGATCTTGATCCAGTCCTTGTAGTTTCCACTGCCCATTAGCGTCTCCAACTCATTGCGGCCGCGCCAAGCAGGAGGTCTGTCCTGAATGTTAGGAGGGAGGTGCTCCAACAGTCCAATTGGGACATAGCGATAGGCAAAGCTGAGCCACTCTAGCATGAAGCGGCGGGTTGTTCCAACACCATGCTCATCAGAGCCCCAGGCCTGAAGACCGTACTTGGCGAACTTTTCAATATAGGCCAGACGCTCAGTCGCGGACTTATCCAAATACTGGCCGGTTTGAATTTCCTCAAAGATCCATGGCTTGATCAAAGCTCCACGAGCCACCATCACAGAGTCCACACCAGCATTGTTGACGTGGTCATCGTAGTCGGTATGCGAGTAGCAGTCGCCGTTTCCAACGAAATAAGTCTTGCCGCCATTGGGCATGTGGCGGGCATCCGGTTCACGAATGGTGTCGGTCAGTGCATCCTGCTTCTTGTTTAGGCGCTTTATGAGGGCTGCACAGTCTGAGATGTATCCCCAGTCTGCTTGTCGAGTGTAGCGCTGCTGTCTACTACGTCCATGCAGGGTGATGGCTGCGGCGCCTGGGGGGCCCAGGTCCAGAACACTAGATTCATATCCACCAAGAACCATACGCTCAACCAGCTTCTGGGCGGTAGGTTGGTTATCCTTGGTTCCCATGCGAATCTTGACGGTAATCGGAATCTCCAGCGAGACAGTGTTCATACCGCGAATCATCTTCTCTAATTTGGAGTGATGATCAAGAAGAGCTGAGCCAGCTCCATCACGGAATACAAGCTCAATGGGGCAGCCGCAGTTCAAGTCAATAACGCGCAGGTTGGGTGTAAACTTCGACAACACCTCAGTAGCCTTGAGAGCTTGCCATGGCTTGTTGGCGGCAATTTGTGCGCCGAACTTGAAATCTTTGGAGTTATCATAGCCCTGAACAACATTGTCGCCTGGGATGACGGTTGGCGGTGTCATTTCCGACTCGTGCGCCTTCAACAGGGTCCATTCGGACTTTGAGCCTTGAATCAAAGGCATACTCATAGCCATCTCTGAGTATGTAAACTGCGCGCCCAGGTCTGTACAGAGTCTTCGGAATGGCATGTTGCCTTGGGTTGTGAGAGGTGCCAGAACAGGTGTCTCCGGTCCAAAATAAATGCGACGCTTCTCTGACGGCATGAAGGGAGGCTCAAGGAACTGAGCACGGTTCTCCTGCAGGTCGATCTTCGCCTGCTCGTCCGGTTCAACAAGCTCACCCTTCTCGCGAATAGTGGATCGCTGGTGGATCGCCTTCTCCAATTCGGCAGACACTTGAACGGACCATGTGGTGTAGGCATCAGCCCGGGGGGTGTCCTCGCGCTTTCTCGTAAGTGCCATTTTGTCTTGATTGGAAATGATGTTGACAATTCCCTCGGGTGTGGCGTGGGCCACACGAGGCCGAGCTTTCTCCATACGTTCTGCGTCCTCAAGCAAGATCAATTCTTTCTTGCCGTCTTCAGTCTCTCTCTCGGTTGAGTGTGAGCCAACCATGCGACATTTCCAGCCGGAAGAGCATTTCCCTAGCGCTTCGTAGACGGGACACATGTTGTTCAGGGTTGTGAGATCCTCGCGTTTATGGTCTTTCAAATAAACACGCAGATCGTGCTCAAATCGGCATTTCTCGCCATATTGGCACTCTCCGGCGGCAAATTCGTTGGCGAACATTCTCGTGCTGCAGAGACCCTTCGCATCTTTAGATGTACCGTAAGTGCGATTGGTGTTCTGGCCCTTCTTCTTCTTCTTTCCCTTGTCCTTCTTGCCACCGTCACGATCATCGTGGGCAGCGCCCTCGGCGGCATCATCAGTGTTAGTTTCATCGGCAGGGCGAGGCTTGGGTGTGATATGAATGCGATACCTGATTGATGAAAGTTAGTATTTCATAATCATTGGGGGGTAGCTGGACGTACTCTGCTTTGATAGGTGCAATTCCTCTGTCGCGCATATCTACCTGGGCGGGTTTTGAAGGTTCATCCAATCGTGCCTTCTTGGCTGGAGGCTCTTCCACATCCGCTGCGCCAGGATCATTTGCGGCGTCGCGCTTCGGAATCTCATTGTCAGGCGTAGCAACATTAGCCACTGGGGTTTGGGCCTGTATAGTCTCTGGCTCCATTGTATTTAGAATGAAAAGCGAACTGTTCACTAAACTTCGCAATCGCTATCGGAGAAACATTCAGTCAAAATTTCGAATCCAGGCGATTGTTTGCATTGTTTGCATTCAATACAATTGGCTCGGTAGGTTTGTGGAGCCTTTCCTATAACGAGCAAGCGCAAACTTAAATCCTACAACCCCGCTCACCGCCTTGGGCATCCAGGTATCTCCATGCTCGACATTACTGTAATCAATCAATACATCGATATCGGGACAAATACCATATGTGCCGACGCGGCCGGATTCAGCCGCCCCCTCGATCAGATTTGGCGTCCCGCCCGTTTGAGTTTAGTCCATCCCAATTCGGTTTGGCGCCCCGGGCTATCCTCAAACTGGCATCTGCCATCTCCGACCGCCTGCCAGCCTCACCGACTATATAACTTCCAGTGCGTCGCTCGATCATCCTCCTCTCTCTGACTGACTGTACTCTTTTCTCTCCCGTCATACCCAGCCGCGAAATGATACTGTAATTTCGGATCGCACGATATCCTTCCCCCTGCACCTGCCTGTTTCAATTGAGTTCCTCGACATACCTCCAGGGGCTTCACCAGTCCCCTCGTCCGGGATGGCAACACAAAGCCTGTGGTTTCTGCGGTTCCCCTCTGAAATGATTTCATCCATTGTGTCCTTTCTGCCAAATAAGGATGTCAAGTCCTTACGCTTAACGTATAAAGCCCTCGGCGAGATTTCACCATTCTCCTCATGAATGTTTCTTTCGGCCAACTCGTTGAATATCCAAGTTTTTTGGGCTATAGCAGACCATCCAAAGTTTTGCCACGAGATAAGGGAGATCATCTAGGACGACGCACGGTTTGTACTCGCGCCGTGAACATAGGAAACTGTATACCTAAACATCGACCCCGTGTTACGTGCCAGATTCCTTTCAACAAAAGAAGTGCATTGCTGATCGAATATCAAGTATGGAGAAGGAAAGAAAGAAAAACAAACGTAAAAACAACAATGGGGTCTTTATACCCCTTCGGGGGCAAAGCCCTATTCTCGTTTATCCCAGAAGGAAGGTACGACCAACCACACAATCCCGAACGGGAAAGTACGAGTCCCGCAAGTGCCAATCGTGCCAATCGTGACAGAGTTCCCCTCTGATGAATTGTGTTTAACTGGTCTACTGGAGAGGATGTGAGAGGAACTAGATTGGACTGAGAGAGATCAACCGTCGAAACCGACCGTTACGATCGCGATGGGAGGCCATCGCATATGGCCGGGGAGGTTCATCAAGCTTTCAGGCGAGGTATCAAGCTTTATTTATGGCTCTAGAGATAATCCCTTAGATGGAACAGATACACGCAGCCCCAAAGACGGATACGGGTCGAATCATGACCTTTTTGCGACGGAGTACACTCGACCCAACGTCAATTTCCAGGATCTTAAGAGACTAGGAATCATTTGTTAGGAATGCTACCTAGTTGACCCGAGCCTGATGCATTCTGGCGTGTTCACTGTTGCCCTATGCAGTTTGTAGACCTTTCTGTGTGGCATTCCGCGGTTTCTACTCGTCTGTCAAGACCGACCTCCTTCCCTACATATATATAACGAGCACCTGGATAGATCTCTTGTGATAGTTATGGTATTCATCAAATATTTTCTTGCTAATTAACAGACCACAATAGGACTGATAGCATCTAATAAATAATCCAGATGGCCTTTGATATCTATTCTCGTTTTGCAATCTAACAAACCAAACCTCGTCCATATCGAACTTTCACTTCCACCCCAAAAGCAACCTCTGCTTTAATACTATATGTACCCTGAAACATACCATTCTTCCACTTCACTTGGGCGCGTAACTCAGTGGTAGAGTGTTCGCTTTGCATGCGAAAAGTCCGGCGTTCAATCCGCCGCCCGTCCATCCTTTTTTTGTCCGTTTCATTTTTTGCTCGCAAAGCCGGCGCGATCAGGCGAGTGTGCCACCTCCATTTTGCCTAGAGTATGATTATAACCTTGATTATTCTACGTTTTTCTAAGCTTTCATTTCTATAAATGTTTCGTTATATGACTTGCTTAAATTTAGGTGATTTGTGGATTTACCCCAGATATAAATTGTACATATACAACCCTTTTAATAAAATCAAATTTAGAAATGAACTATTAGGGACAATCTTACAAGAGCAACGAAGAAGATCATTCCGAGGAAGTAATGAAGATGCGAGAAATGACTTACTACTATAGTTTCTGAACTGCCGCTCGTTCATTTCTTTCATTTTGGTCTGTCTCGGTTTTTGATATCTAGAGCATATTTGCTGCACTTGTTCCTGAGACGGCTATTTGACCGACTTTTCCATATATAACATGTGTGAGCAGAGTGTTGTCATTCGATTGATGATATTGTACCTCACTCCATAAAGAGCAAATTGGTCGTGATATGTGATATCAGACTCTAACTACTAGCTCCCCATCAAATCCAGGTGCCTGAGAAAAGTAATAACCGCGCTGATTACTGACCACCATCTTCTTGGTACTCTCCTCAATGTAATTGACATTGAAGTGCGTATGCCCAAACGCCCATAATTTTACGAGCGGACTCTTCCAGACCTCCTGTCTAGAGAGATTGCTGGCAAAGCCCGACGACAGCGAGCTGTTTACATGCCTTGGATCAACCGCCCGCGGATCCTGAGTGACTGGGCTATGATGTGTAAAAACCACGAGCTTGCGATGCGGCTCAGAGCTAGCGATATGAGAAACCTGTCTATTTAACCACCCCAAGTCTGCATCATGGGCAGCTGTGTGGTCGTCAACCGTCCAGTCTTTTATGTTGTAAAAGTCATTGAGACCATAGCTGACGTGCTCCTTATGGGCCTCGCTCACTCGCGAAAAAAGTGTGCACCCTAGGACAGTCAATTCTGGTGAGAGGTCGTAGCGAGTCTGATCCAAGAAGACGAAAGAACCCATAGTTTCCGGATGTCCATCTTGTTCTGTTGAACGCCGACGATCAACAGATGCCGAAAATTGATGAAGGAGTTTCTTCGTCTCCTCCCAGGTTGAATCGTAGGGCTCATGGTTTCCCAACAGGAAGAAAACGATTTGGAATTGGCGCAACTGGGTCTCGATGAATGTAATGAAGCCTGCGTCATTGACAACTCCTATGTCACCTAGGAGGGCAAGATATGGCGCCTTCGGGGAGATATTGAACACATCATAGGCAGACGGATTTTCTAAATGTAAATCCGACAATATCTGAAACGTGGACATCTGGCCGTACACCGAATGAGGCAAGTGTTGCTGATGTTATGGATGAATGTCTGGGGGGCGATAGTCACCAGCCAACCAGATGCAATGCCAAAAGACCCGCCAAGTGTGGCTAAGTTACATGTGGCGGTGCAGATATACATAGTGTGGCGTAACACAGCCTCCTTCCCTCAGTTGTCTAAGCGCCCAGACATGGATGATCTCATAGGAACCCCTCCTTGGCTCTTGGCCAAGAAAATACATTTATCTCCTTCCTTCCCCTATTTCAACGTTCCTGATTTCTTTGTTCCAAGGTTGTCTTTAGAGGTGTTCCTGAGCTTCTTTCCATCGGCTTATCAACTATTGTCATACGACGTCATAACCGCGTTATCAACACCTTAATATTGCGGGCAATATTGAAAGACACAAGATAGCGACCAACACGATGGCGAGCGCAGCACACGATCCCAGACTGCTATACAGCGTCAATAATATCCGTGCTTTCCACATCCAAGATGGCGAAGAGCAGGACCTCACGCCGTCCGGCGCTCAAACCCTATCACTGCTAATGGTCCCCACCAACACCGCCACTGCTGGCCCTGGGACAGATTGGCCTGAAGATTCACCGGAAGAGGATTTCTACCTTCACCTATACATCCCACCTGAGCTCGATATTGCGATCCCGGCGACCACACAGATCTTCCACCAAGCTCCCGACAGTTATCTGATTCCCCGCTGGGACATGGGTCCCGAAGCTGGCGCTTTCATTCGCATCCAGTTCCCTAGCATTGGAACTGGCCCTAGCAATGTGTCTCAGGATGATATTGATACCTTTGAATCTATCCTTGCGCAGTGTACTGCATTCCTCGAGCGCACCCCGTACCCGAAGGCTCAGGACTATACTGCTTACAACCCGGCCGACTACGCACCCGGCGAGGGTTATGTCGGGACACCCGATACAAAGCAAGGAGATGCACATGGAAGAATTGTGCTTGTGGACGAAGAAAACGGCAGTGTGGTCGGAGAGCTAGGAGACGGCTACAATGTAGTCGAGGATGCCGACGTGAAGCCTGGCTCTAAGAGTAAGTGTTGAACCATGGTCACCTGTCAATCAGCAACTGACTAATATCGAACAGGACCGGTAGGAATTGAACTTCCTGCAGAAGGCGGAGGCAATCAAGTCAGCGTCAGCAATGTCTCCGAAGAATACCTGTCATTGGCCCGGCATCCGGCATATAAGAACTCGACACTCGTTCAGAGTTCGGCTACAGCATCTCGTCTGATAGTGACTGGATCAACATATCTGGCAAGTGCTATTGCGAGTGGCGCGGAGAATTTCCAAAAGAAGACACAGCCGAACCCCAAGCCTTTGAAATTCTCAGACGCTACCCACGCGCGCATTCGCAAGGTCGGCAATTTATCCAACGGAGCAGCAGATATTTCTGCTCGCACAGTCGGACAGGTCGGAAGAGTTGCACAGAACATAGGCGCGTCACTGGCACGCAAGCAAGAATCTGGCCGGAATAAAGGCTTCGACAGGCGCAACCCACCACCAGAATACAAGCCCGGTGTGTTGAACAAATCAATGATCGCATTTACAACCCTGGCCGACGGTATCGAGCAGAGTGCCCGAAACATGCTATTCTCCGGTGCTGGCGCCGCCAGCTCCATGATCGAACACCGTTACGGAAATGAGGCAGGCGCCGTGACAACCCACCTGACGGGCGGAATCAAGAACGTTGGATTGGTTTACATCGACGCCACCGGTGTCAGTCGCCGCGCGCTATTGAAGTCTGTTGCCAAGGGCATGGTCGTTGGAAAGATGCGCGATGGTCAACAGGTTGTCGTCGGCGGTGGCGACGGCGGCCAGGTACCGGCTAACGCCGTGCAGTCTGCTTCGGGCCCTTCTAGCTTGGGTGCCCGGGACCCTGTTGTGCGGCGTGCGTCGCCTACCCTCACACCGCCTCCTGCATATGGTGCGTCGGGGACAAGGTCCCTCAAGGGGGGGCCCACGTCAGGGGGTAAGCGGTAAAATCTGGGGGCTGGCGCTAGTCACAGTGCTTGGAGGTGCGAGATCTCGTATAGGAGATGTTTGGGTTTTTTTTAATTTTTGTGATTTGGTACGACGGACATGATTTCTCTTTTTGCAAGCTCTTGATTGAGGATTGAGGCTGGCAGCTTCTTGGTTTTTCTATTTTACACTTTTTGATACCTATGTACTTGATTTCCTCTCATTCTTGGCTTTCCCTTCCATTTTAGTGCTCAGACCTTGCCGCTCCGCAGGCCTATATTTAGCTACAATTACTTTTCTCTTTCAGTTGATCGGATCCTGTAGATGCATGGTTACTATAATCAGCTTCTCTTTTGAACTATCGCTTCTTTTCACTTACTGAATGTGGCGGAACCATCGCGGGGAATATTTTGTATTATCGTTTCCTGGCCAACACCTCGTCATGTGTCATGTTGAATTGTCTGTGTCCATGTTACCATCCTTCAAAGAAGTCCCTCCTCTTTGTTTGCCAAGGTGAAAAAAAAATCCAAACTCCTCTTCCTCTTTATCTAGCCTTCTTCCTCTAGCCTTCATAGCGACGATGGCTGGTTTCGACCTCACGGAATAAAAGTTGGACAATGATCTTATCTCGTCTATTTCTAATTTTCCAGTCTCAATAGGTATCCCAAACCTTCTTTGGGGCAACTATCTACTTACTGTTTATGGAGTTCCTACGATTGTGGATGTCAGTATTTTATCTCGATTGGCCGGATCAGTCTACTAATATTCTAATAGGAAGCAGCTTTTGTTACTCCGGATGATCTTACCCAAGTCGCATTCTCTTCACTCAAGAGTGCTGGGTTTTTGCCCTGTAACAGCTTAGGCTGTCCACACTTAGATGCAAACCGAGTGCCACCGGCATTCAAGCACCTGCATATTAATGATGAGGTTGCGGTCTCGCTCTATCGGAAATCTGATGTACTATGGGAGTTTGACTTGGAGAATAATCCAGATATTATGATTGCGTCGGACGATCGACTCCTATCGGCATCTCTAGGTCGTGGCCGAGGACGCTTCTTATCGTGTCCTTGTACCGTGAAAATCCCTTCTGCTGTGAAATATTGTGAGGCCCTGATTCTATTACTTTGCCGTGACTACGACTCTTCTTACGAGACTTATTGGCTAGCTATTCTGAGCTATATATTGGAGTATGTTAACGGTACGGATATTTTGGATGAAAACAAGCTGCAAGAAGGTTACAGAAAGTTTTACCATGCCCTCAAATTAGAAGATCCAGAGATATATTCAATACTGGATGAGCTCCGATTTGCCTTGATTGAAGAGCGTCGCCTCCCAGTGATAAATTATTAACAAGGCCAGGCTAATACCACAAGGCATAACAAGAGACACAAATAAGACACCAAAGAAGATATAGCGCGTTGTCCTTTTTGACCTTGCCCTCATAGTTATTCAGGACGTTTGCTGTCGCCTTACGTAATATATCCCTTCAATTCTATTGGCTAGAAATGGGACGCGCCCCAATACATATAATAGCGGCCCCACAAGGTGCCTACCTAGAGAGTATACAACGTAGTAAAGTTGGGGCTTTCCACTCTCTGTTTCTTTCCTCTCATCATCACTCTCCAGACATCTTTTTATCATGGAATCACGTATTGAAGATGGTCAGCCAGATCCTCTGCATATCTTTTCGGAGTTTGAAGACCCCACTCGTCATAGCCTCATCCAGCAGATCGTTCAGGATGACCCAGGATTGGCCATGATCCCGCAGCAGAATCTCTATGCCTTATGGTTCAGTGATATTAGTACTCTACAGGAGAAGGCCAATGCGCAAACCAAAGTCGCGAAAAAGCTCCGCGCAAGAGACTTGAGGGTGCTCTCCAACCAGTACGACGTTGTTGGTATTTGTGAGTGGATCCACAAGTTATATCTACAATATTAAACTAACTATTCTTCAGGGGCTTGTGAGGGGCAGACTACTGCAGCCAGCAGAGAAGAACCCCAAGGTTCTGCGCCTCGGCTGGGTCTTAGTGAACGCGGTCGATCCAGCTCGCCCAACACTGGCTCCTCTAGCAAGCCATCTACGCCAGAGCACGAGAACACGGTGGATGTGAGTTCATCAGAAATCACAAAGAGGAAATAGTGCTAATACGGTCTTCTAGCTCCCATCCGAGAGTGCTAACCGTGATGGTTATCATTGCGTAGTGACGAAGCGTGGACTACCATTGATTGAGAGTGCCCATATCATACCGAAAAAGCTCAACGGTGCTCGGAGTCTGTACCTCACGCAATATGAGTGCTGGGCCTGGCTTAGTGCTTTCTGGGGCGATGAGAAAGTCGACAGGCTGCAAAGCCTCTTGGTGTCTGAGGGCATAATGGACACGGAGCGACTTTATAACCAGATCACTCTGGATATCCAGGTGCAGAAATATTGGGATCGTGCGATGTGTGCACTCCGCCCTATTTGGGTCAGTGAAGACCAAACAGAAATGCAAATCGCGTTTCATTGGCTGCCTCTTAAAGAGAGCCTCCCGGGGTTGGAAAATACTTATCGGGGTGAGATGGTCTCGGTTATGGAGAACCCATACCAGGATCCAAAGTACCGACCTCGCGAGACCCCTGGGAACAATAACTTCATTTTCCATATAGAGACGGGAGTTAGAATCCCCTCGGGATATGTCTTCACGGTCAAGACGGACAATAAGTATGAACGGCCACTGCCCTCCATGGAACTTTTGGAACTGAGGTGGCATTTGGCTCGCATTGCTTGTATGCGGGGCAGAGACGAGGACGGAGATGGTGCTTATGAGTCTGATGGTGGCTTTTCCGTCCGTTCAGGCTCTTGATCCCCTATCTAGAAAGAAGCTATGCTCCACGAGAATATACCTTTCCGTCCAGCCACCAAGGCGCCACCGTCGCCCTCAAAGCTACAGAATGTGTCTTTCGAGAATGATTTCAGTCCTTTTCTCCAGGAGTGATGGATATATTTCGCGCTCTTGACGGTGTGGCTGGCTGTGGCCTTGCCTTGCTCCTGACAGCGTTCTCTAGGCTTCCTGTGGCTAGCTTCTGTTTTGTCTTTGTTCTGACAGCGTTCTCTGGGTATCCTCCTTCCTGACGGAGTGACTGGTTTCGGTTTGTCTTGATACTGGTATGTTAGAGTAGGATGGACGTATGGGTTAGGTTTCATTTCGCTTAGGTGATAACAATACATGTCGAATCTGACCTTCGAAAATATGTGAATTTTTCGTTTGATTCCTATATGAGTGACTTCCGGTCTTTCTGCGACCGGGGTCTTCCAGGATGCCTTCGGGTGTTCTGGAAGATCCAACAGCCATGAGCTTGGATCTCTGCTGCTGAGATGCGACCGTTTGGATGTCAGGGTAGACGAGGCAGATGTAAATTGTGCTGTCTGTCTTCGTACAGATATCCATTAAAACGAATTTCGAAATTAGAGAGTAAATGATTATTCGAGAAATGACTCCCAACAACCCAAAACGGCAAACCAGGTACGCGGTTTACTCTATAAACAACCAACAAAGCCAAGTCACTCCTATAACTAGAATTTGGCCAAAAAAAAGATATTCAATTCTTATTTCCAACCCGTTTTTGCATTGTTTTGCATTTTCGGGCTTATGGCGAGGGCAATGATAGCCATTAGACAGGGTTGCTCATATGCGTTGCCAGCTGCCGCTGGACGATCTATCGGATATTGATTGGATGATGATATACAACGTTGTAGAGGCAAAAACTGCCAGCGCATCGATTGACAGTTGTCCACGGCCCACCGTGGTGGCTTTGTCCAATGAGGGCGATCAGCACTCACATGAGTATCAAGTCACAAACGCTTGACATTTACGTCTGGAGTATTGGTGATCCGGGGGCTGTCAAAAAAGTAGAAAAGCTGTGGGTGATTGAGTGGATTGAGCATCAATTACTCCGTACTGCATGCAGATATGTACTCCGTATATTGATGGAGACAGTGGATAAGTGGATAGAGTAAGGTTTAGTCTTGCAGGCCGGACTATCCAGGCACCGCATCGAGTGGTGTGCACTCCATTTTGACCAAGATTATATGATTTTCAAGGTCGCAGTTGGATATAAAATTCGAACAGATCGGGATCCGACCATGGTTCTTGCTATGCTTACCGTGGTTGGATGGTTCCAGGGTTCGGGCTATGGCCCCTCTTCAATCTGCGTATTACCCCCATACGGAGTCCTCCGTAGCTTCAAAGCGTTAAAGCCCGAAGCGAGAGTCCACTATGGTGAGCGCTAATTGTCAGGATCAAGCTAGGGAGGTGAACTACTGCACGCTATTCTTATATCTAATCTCTGGATCTTTTGAGTCTGGGATTGATCAAGTCAACAACATTGAGTTTATTAAAAATAGTTATAATTAATCTAGTAGTAACATTGATTTAATTCAGATGCTAAGTAGGCTGGACCAATGAAGAAGGAGAAAAAACCCGAGATCTGGGCTTCCGTTCTGAGAGAGGTTAATAATGACGATCGTCCCAAGTGTCCACTCTATGAGGATTCGAAACAGCCGGTGCAACCCCCTATTTATTATTTTTTGCATCTTTCGCTTGAAACCGAGCAATTTAGCGCCCGGTCAATGGTCATGCTACTATTATTTCGGGCATATCCACAGAGGACGTTGTAACGCCATACACTTCTCTCCCTTCTTTGGCACATGCGAGGATCTCTCGGGACTCGAGCCCTTTTTGGCACAGGTTACTGGCGCAAGGGATTCGAGATCAATATATGGGCAATTAATCTATCCACTCTTCATACAGGATTTAGTTTGTCTTTGTCCTGATGTATCATAACAGTCCTTGGCCTATGTACAGACTCGGTATATGTAGTATAGCTTCTCTATTTCAGATCTTAGCAAGATACAACAAGATAGAGATAGTCCAATTCATAGTATAATACCAAGTAGCTCGTAGACTTGCATGTAAACATCCCCGTATCATATCAGTCAAACCCTCATCCAAGGCTCAAGAGCCAAAGACCCGCCTCCCCCAGACTAACAGAAACTACCAGTCGTATCTTACCTCCTCTTTTTTCCTTCTTCACCTTCTCATCCGGCCTCTCCCTCTACCCTTTGGGCCTTTTTTTTTTTTTTTTCTTTTGGTCTGTGTTTTCTTGTTTCTTTGATTCTGTTCTTTGGAGGTCTCTTCTGCCCCCTTTTTCGACTCGGATCCCCCGACCGGTGTTTCCCGTCTTTTTCCTCCCCTCGCGACCCCTGTCCGCGCCCCTCAGTAATCCTATTTTCGACAATGTTCATCTGTTGTCGCAATTGAATCAGAGTTCTGTTGATCAGGTCCGCAATCGCGTCCGAGACATTTGTTACCGCGTTTGCTCGATTCCTTGGACAACGTGCGACCGCAAACCCCAAGTCGTGGGTCTGGAGGGGAACTCTTGAAGTACTGCAGCGCAGGTATCTTTAGCTTTCCTTTCGTTTTTCGAGAAACTTGTTGTTTTTCGACGCGTCTTGACACCTGAACAAGCTCGCGACCTGGTGTCCTCGGTGATATTCAACCATCATCTAACGGTTTTTGCGCGATTGGTCGTAAGCTAGTCCCCCCCCATTCCTCCGATCGGATCTCCTGCTGTCAGTTGCCCACCCCCCCATTCTTGGGTGAAAAGGCACATTTTTGGCGATTATCGATAAGCATCTGGGGAAATATTCAAGCTGACCCATGGCCCAATGTCTACAGAGCGCGCTTTGCAGAGTCATTTGGCGAGTGCGACCGGTCGCCCCAACCTCCCGACTTTTGCCAAACACCGCCGGGCATTGTGTTCCCTCGCGCCAATTGTGCCAATCGCAATTGATACCAGAATCGTGTCAACGAGTGCCCGCAGAAGCTGCCTCGGACCGTCACACAGCAAGTCTCGTAAGGCTTTGCGCATCTACTAGACAAAGGTATGCTATCGGCCGTGATGCAAATTGCCTCACAGCGCGTACCCGTCCACCAAACCATTCCATTTGATAAATAGGTTGCTAATCTCCAACAGCCGTTTCTGAGGCCGGTCCCGAACAGCTTTTTCCGGCTATGAGCACTTCTCATCAGCAGGCCGTGCCACTCCCCGCTCATGCCTCTGCAGTATCGACCACATCATCTCCAGCCCAGAAGAATGCGCGCGCACCCTATCCCGACATGCTAGGTTCACCGCCGGTTCCTCCCCCGAGGACCTCTTCCAGTCGCCGTACTCAAAATGAAACCTCTACAGAGAAAACGAGTAGCTCTCGACAAGGCAAGAGCAGGTCCGATCGAAAAGACACCCGTGATCGCACGCGCGATAGCACGCGCGATGACCGAAATGGCAGATCACGGAGGCAGCCTGAGGACACATCTCGTGAAGTACAATCAAGGACGGATTCAGAAGTGGACATCCCTGGCCGTGTAAAAGAACCAAGTTCGGAGGCCAAGTCTGTGCTACCTAGTGACTATGGTATGGACGAGAGAGAACGACCCGCCACAGAAAATGCCTCTACGGGTAGCGTCGAAGAGGAGGCTCGTGGGCCTCGAAGTCGGCATGATTACAATAATGGGAACGTTGTCAAACGCAAGGAAACCACCTTCGGCTCGTACATTCTCGGACAAACCCTCGGCGAGGGAGAGTTTGGAAAGGTCAAGCTGGGATGGAAGCGCGATGGCACTCTCCAGGTAGCAATCAAGCTCATCCGAAGAGACACACTGGGGACCAACCCCAGCCGATTACCGAAAATCTACCGTGAAATCGCCATTCTGCGTGAGCTGGCGCACCCCAACATTGTGCGCCTCCACGAGATGGTGGAAACTGACCGTCACATTGGTATCATCATGGAATACGCGTCGGGAGGTGAACTGTTTGATTACATCTTAAATAATCGATATCTCAAGGATAATTCTGCACGCCGGCTGTTTGCTCAGCTGGTGTCCGGTGTTGGTTATCTGCACAAGAAGGGTATTGTGCACCGTGATCTCAAGTTGGAGAACTTGCTACTCGATCGGAATCGCAACATCATCATTACTGACTTTGGATTCGCCAACACCTTCGACCCGGTGGATCCTTTAGACGAGGAAATGGAGTACAACTTGACCAACAAAGAATACGTCAAACGGAAGCGACTAGACAAGATTGGTCCAAATGGGCTAAGGCGAGGCGATCTTATGCAGACCAGCTGTGGTAGTCCCTGCTATGCAGCCCCCGAGCTTGTCGTGAGCGATTCTTTATACACAGGCCGGAAGGTGGATGTGTGGAGCTGTGGTGTAATTTTGGTAAGTCTTTTCTTACAGACAGAATCCGACTCAACTAACTTGTTGTAGTATGCCATGCTGGCGGGATACCTACCCTTCGATGACGACCCAGCAAACCCAGATGGCGACAACATTAATCTCCTTTACAAATATATCGTCACTACTCCTCTCACATTCCCGGAATACGTCACGCCACATGCGCGCGATTTATTGAGACGGATACTGGTTCCTGATCCCCGGAAACGTGCAGACCTGTTCGAGGTTGCCCGTCACAGCTGGCTCAGCGAGTTCTCGAATGTTGTGTCTCATATCACAAGTAGTACGACAAACGTTGTGGACATTGCGAATACAACGATCCCATCTGGTAAGGACCTGCTCTCTGTGGGTGGTCAATGTTCGAATTACTCACATAAGGCTATAGAAACCCAAAAGGAAGCACCGCCTCTTGTCCGTAGTGCTTCAGTGCGCGAACCACCGAAGACACATCAGCACGCCCCTGCTGTTGGTGGCTTGAACCATCATGCTGGAGATGTTTCTCAAGACCCGCCGTCCGAAAAGTCTAGAACCCCCCGCGATGCCAAGCGGAGAACGGTCCAAGTCGAATACGTTGCTCCTCAATCACAAACGACCCGAGGAGAACCTCCGGTGGAAACGTCTGCATCACGAAGCCGAGTCCCGGCCCCATCTGAGGCCCAGATCGCAGCTTCAGCGCAACAACCCACAGAGCCTGCAACTGCACCACTCAACCTGAACAAGCCACTTCCAGGGCACTTGCCGCGGTCGGCCTCGGACCACGCAGCCATGACGGGGTCGCAGACGAGTGGGATGTCGCAAGGGCATCGGCCAGCCACTGGTACTTCTATGAGCTCCTTTGGAAACACTGGTCGTTTGCCTTCTCGCGGCTCCTATGGACAGCCGGTGGCTCCTACTGTTACCGCAACTAACACAGAAGGCCGCCTAGCACAGCCCAAGAGCAGGCAATTTGCTCTTCCACAGGATCCTGCACAGGGATCGAGCACATCTATCCGTCGTGCAAGCACCCAGAACCAGCAATTGCCTGCCACCTTTAACACTACTCCCCGACAAGAGCCGCCAAAAGGCCACAAGAGGTCCAATACTGTTTCCAGCCTGGGCGAGAAACTGTTCGGTCGTTCTGGTTCAATATTGGGTGGTCGTTCGCAGTCTAATGCCACTCGTACAAAGCAAGACAAGCGTTATCCTCCTGTCAGCATGAAGGAGCCTCTACCGAGGGAAAACTCCAGAGTGTCTGTGGATTCCCGCCGCTCGATGCAATACCCCCATAACCGCAAGACAAGCGAGTCTGGCGCGGAAAACCGTCCTCGTCGATTCTCATTACTCCCGCAATCCTTCTCATTTCGCGGTTTCTCTAATACCCGGGCTCCGACTCCCGAAGAACCCTCGCAGATCCCTCGTCCCGTGGACCCCCGTGTCCCGCAACGCCCTACCTCGGGCCCTGCCGGCCCCTCGCAGGGTCGCTCTCGGGCGACAAGCTATGGCACGCAAGAAGCTATGGGGATAGTTGACGAGGGACCCGGCGAAGATGTTCATACCGAACCTGAGCCGCTTAGCTATGAGGCCCAGATTGATCAACAGTTTGCAGACCTGGGATCTCAATTTGACTACCAAAGTGGTTCCTTTGGAGTCCCCTCGCCTGAGGAAGTCTACCAGAACTCTGCAGACCGCATTGATCAACAAAATCACTCATCTAAACCAAACTACTACGATGATTACAATGGCCCATATGACAGCGCGCCTAGGCAGTCGACGCAGGTTGGCCGGTCAGGCCGTGGGCCGGGTGTTTTGCAGAAAAGCCACCGCAAATTCGCGGACGCCTACGAATATGAGCGCGACGGGTCTCACCATTCCGGCAGCTCGGGGGCTGCACGCAAAGTCATGGACTTCTTCCGAAGACGCGCCAAGTCCCGCGGCGGCGATGACCGTTGATTTACGGTTTAGCCAATAGATAAAAAGCAATATTCTATCTCAAACGGACTGACCGCGGAGATTGGACCGATCAAGCACTCTTGCGGCTTGAGCTTTGATCTTAGAAGCTGATTCAAACCCTATCATTCTGATGCTTCTTTTGAGTTGCTTGAAAGAGCAGCGAGGTTGTTTGGATACCCCGTGATACCCTGCTTTTGTTCCCTTCTTATGCATGGAGCGATTCCTCTTCATCCGTCGGGTGTTTGATTAATTATCTAGCATTTTCTTTATTTCCTTTGTCTAGCTACATTTTCCTTGCTCCTAATGTTTCGCTTTTGTTCGCTGTTCCCCCCGTTTTACCCCAATATGTGATTTGCATTCCCCTTCTACTGTTACTATTATCTCTGGCTGTAAAGTGAGACCTCATCCGTGTTCTTGTTCAGAACATTTTATTATTCTCTTGAACCTTTTTTTTCGCTTCTCATTGTCCCCTCTTAGCTTTTATTTGTTCCTCTATGAGAGGCTCTGTCCACGATAATTCAATTGTGACATTATTTCCATTCTTCTGTCTATGTCTATGTACCTTAATGTGTGGCTTTGTCCTTTAAGGTGGATGTTTCTGGAAGTTATTGAGGCCTTCCTATTCTATTGCTATTCTCATACTCTATTACTTGACTACAACAAATGTGGTCAGTACATTGTTACTTGGGAAGCTCCAATATACCTCGTTATCAAGCGGAAGACTCTATATCTCCCTTAAGCTGCTTGTAGTTGATGTAGTGTAACATGATTAACATCAGAATACCTATTCCAGGGTAGGTACTTTCAACCGCTCAACCTTCACCAGATCAGCCTCCCTATTCAAGCTCTCAATCTCAGCCGTAGTAAAAGGAATACCCTCCGCCAACCGTTTCTCCTCAGTAATCATCTCAATCTCCCCAGGGAAGTAAATCCGATCCACACCATCCATCCTCTCCGACCCAACAACCCGCCGATAAAGATAATCCATCCTCCCCTTAAACTCCTCAATAGTCATAAACAAATCCGGCTTAACAGCCACCAAAAAATGCCCCACATCAGCCGGCCTCGACGGGTCATACGGGTTAGTAACATGACCCGCAAAAGCCGACCCAGAAAGCACCCCGGAGAAAACATCCATCATAACCGCCAGCGCCGACCCCTTCGGCCCCCCCATCGGCAACATAACACCCCCCAAAGCCTCCGCCGGATCATCCGTCCTAGCCCCATCCTTATCCAGCGCCCAATCCGTCGGAATCCTCTCCCCCCGCCGCAACGCCTTATAAACCTTCCCCCGCGCCGCAACCGAAGGCGCCATATCTAGTATAAACGGTCTGTTGCCCTGCCCCGCCGGCGCCCCACACGCAATCGGCGACACACCCATCAGCTTCTCCCGCCCACCCCACACCGGCAGCGCGGGCGAGCTATTCGTAAACACGAGCGACATCATGTCCGCGTCCAGCGCTTGCTGCACCAGCCACGCAGACATGCCGAAGTGGTTCGAGTGCTTGACGGAGACCATTCCGATGCCGAAGGTCTGCGCCATTGAGATGGCGAGTTTCATTCCTTCGTGCGCGGCGACGAAGCCGAAGCCGTTGTGCGCGTCTACTTGCGCTGCTGCTGGTGTTATTTGCTGGATTGTGGGTGTTGCGGTTGGGTCTAGGGCTTTCTGCCGGATTCGTTCTATGTAGGATGGGATGCGGTTGCTGCCGTGTGTGTCTACGCCGCGGAGGTCGGCGGATAGGAGGCATTTGGAGATTATTTCGGCGTGCGGTGGGGGGGTGTTGTTTGCGATGAGGATTTGTTTGATGAAGGTTTGGAGGGCTGGGGGGTTGATGTTGTGGGTTTGGTGGGGTTCGTTGGGTTGGTCGGACATTTTGGATTTGGATTGGGTGGGTTTGATGTGGGATTTTGTTGTTTTAGAAGCTGGGTTGGGTGTGGGTTGTCCTGTAGAGATTCTTTTATAGACGCGGGGACGGATGTGTTGCGAAATGCGGGGCCCCACGGGTTTATGAGGGGTATAGCCCTATTTCGGAGTACTTCCGAGGTTTGGTGGGTATATTCTATAACGAATATATGGGGTTTGAGAGCTTGATATTGTCGAACCTTTCAAAAACAAAGGATGTTGCGCCTGCCTACGAGATCATTACGGATATCTATTGATCCTACGACATACACAGTACTCCATACTCACGGTAAGGTGCATGGTATAAGCCAATAAGAATTAAGTCAAGGAATGGCCGCTATGCACATCCAACAAGGGCGGTCGGTGTAGGAACCAACGCCAATCTCCTCAATGCTTACCCCCTGAATACATTCAAGATCAGTACCCCTTCCAGCATTGAATTCCCGTCCAAATGAGTGTTCCATCGCTGCCTGATGATCTATCAGATTCAGACTTCGGCGACGTTGTGAGCACCGAAAACGACGAGCTTGATCTCGAAGCAATCTCAGAGCCCTGGCATAAGTACGATATAAAAGAAACACCAAACGTTTTTTACCCTGTTTATCTCGGAGAAGTCCTCAATGAGAGATGTCTGGTCGAACATAAAATCGGTCATGGCGGCGGCTCTACTGTCTAGATGGCCCATGACCTCTATGATAAGAGGGACGTGGCCCTCAAAATCATGTCTTTAGGGGACTGGGGGGAGAACGAATACCGCATGCAGAACGAAATCCTTCAAAACGTGCATGATACTTCCCACCTAGTGATGTATCTAGGGACTTTTCTCATCCCTGGAAGCGGTCATAGGGTTCTAGTATTCCCTTTAATGGGTCCATGCATTGTCCCTATTGAAATGGAAAAAATGCCAATGGCCAGCCGCATGTTCGCTGCTCGCCAATTGTTAGAAGCCTTGGAAAGTCTACATAAAGAAGAATTGTGCACCGTGGGAAGTCGACCTACTATATTCATTTTCCGTTCTAATGAACAATTTATAGATTTAAATGAGAGGAACTGTATGTGGGGGATGCGTCCTCTCCATCATCTCAATAGGAATGCGAAATACGAGGCACTCGGTCGGCCACTAAAGCTAGCTATACCATATGTCGAACTTTGCAAGAAGGGGTAGTTTGCTCGGCCAGTTAAGGTCCCCGAGAATTTACGCACAGAGGAATTCTTTCTCGGTGACTTTGGCCTAGCGAAAAAGCTTACCGATAGCGTGACTCAACGAGGCTATCCCCCTTCGAAATATTGTTCCCCTGAACGTCTTCACGGGGAAGCGCCAAGTCTGAACTCAAGTGGATTCGTTAGGAGTTTAGGTCTACTACCTGAAAAGTGGAAGGGTCTTTACCCTGGAGGACTCGATTATTGGTATGACCAATCGCAAACGCCTGATCCGGATCTTGATGTTGCCTCTAGAATTGCATACTTTCGTCCCGATGCTGATCCGATCGAGCGAAACCATGTGGCCTCTATCATGTCCAAAGTGCTCTAATACTGTCCAGAGAAACGTCCGAGTGCAACACAGCTTTTACAGGATCCATCATTCAGGGCCATTATGGAGAGATACGGTTGTTGCTCCTCATTATTTCGTTTCTTATTCGTCCTGTTTCCTATGCTGTAATATTATTTCTTCATGTTTAGTGCTGGAACAACTGCGAAGATCGCATGAGTCGCTTGAAGAATAAAGTGCATCCATTCAGCTTAACTATAGAGTAGATGTTGGAGTAATTCGGTTAAGTACTCCGTATATTATACCGATATGCCGACCACCGAGATCTCCATATTAGGGCTATATGCAATGACAGAGAGGATAGTACAGTCCAAAATCTGATTTACGAGGATTACCATCTTCGTCCAATTACATCTCTTAATGAACATAACTTTTCGGAGCGAGACAAAGTTGGCGATTGCTATTGACTATGTACTGCGCTATGACATCATACTCGGCTGTGGGCGGCGATTGCCGTGTACTCGGCAAACATCCCACCATGCAAATTCACCCGTTTGCCGACGCACTATCGAAATCGTTAAATATGCAACCTAGGGCGAATGCTGTATGCACCCGATGCCACAGTAGCAAGGTATGTTGTTCTTCATGAATAGCTCCTATCAATACTGATAGCGATGAAGATCCGTTGCGACCTAGAAGGCCGGCGAAGTGGTAAATGTAGCCGTTGCGAGCGTATAGGCTATACGTGTCAGTAAGACTGCGTAATGATACATATCTCCCGAGGCCTATAGGCTGACGTTATAGACCTCACATTGGAAAGCGAAGGAGAGCCCTCCACGCTTCGCTCTACTCGTCACATACAAGTATCCCGTCGCCAAGCCGAGCAGTCCCTGTGACACAGGAGAGCACAGCACAGGAAGCACCCTCTCCCTTTCGTCATCTTGGCCGTCGGGATATAACATGTGTGGGACCTGGGGTTGTCAACGGCTCGCAACAGCCGAATTCCATCGATGGCAGTCAGCTCATCCTAGACATAAGCCAAGCTTGTCGTCTTCCATCCCCCATCATCGCCCAAGCGCTTACCGATTTCTATTTCCGTGAGCTGTTCTACTTCGTCCCAGTTTTAGATCGTGGGCAGTCCGAGATAGAAACCTCTACTTTGTTACAGCAATGCCTGTGTTTCGCGGGAAGTACCATGCGTCAAACGGCAGGGCCAGCCGAGTGGACCACGTTTGCCATTTACGGGCGGATCAGAACATTGCTCTTTCTGAACCACGATCCAGCTCCATTGAATATGCTCAGCGCTCTTTGCATCCTCAGCACCTGGTTCCCATATTCTCCTGATGCGATAGTGCTAGACAACCCGTGGCAATGGGCTGGTATGGCAATCCGACTCGCGATTCAGTTGCACTTGCACGAGAATGAGACTTACAGCAGATTAGAGGATTCAGGAAGAGCGCGCAGGATGTGGTGGTATCTCTTTATCAACGATACATTGCAGACGGCCTGCTGTGGGCGTCCTGGAATGTTTCCCCTGGAAACCTCTGTGCCACTGCCTGTTCCCAGTGACTTCAAACATGTCGATCTCGGATCACGCGTTTTCTGTCAGTTAACAGTTCTCTGTACAAAACTCAGGAAGGTTGTTGACCTGGCCAGAGTTGACAAGGCCTCATCAGAGCAGGTGTATCTGAACCTGGATGGCCTGAGAGTGTGGAGAGAACAGCTGCCCCTCGAAAGCCAATTGTTCGACGTCGAAACTAGGCAACCATACAATCGCGCTGTCGCTGAGCTCCATATATTTTACCTAGTGACTGTCATTTTGACATGCTTCCTTGGCCGCCGGGATAACCCGTCATTGTTCAAATACGCTTCAATGGCTGCTTCATCTTGTATTTCGCGGCTATACGAGGAGATTCTCTATCACGAGGATGTCCAATACCTACTGGCAATGCATACTTGGGCTAACCTCGTCGCCGGAATCCCGCGAGCTTTCGGAGACAGCGATGTATTGAATCCTGACCGCGACGAGGAGCTCAGAATCAGCAAACAGGTGCTGGAAATTATGAGGGAGAAGCATACCTCCGCTACTTTTGTACTCAACAAAATCAACGGTCTCAACAATATGCGCGCAGATTCGGTTCCCGCTCAAGCCGATAACACGTGCGGTGCTCTTCCGGTGTCTGGGCAAATTCAACTAGCTCAGTTGTTCCCTTTCCCCTCGAGGTTTTGCCCTATGCTTAGGATTCTAAGAACTGCGGAAGCTAGCGAAAATCAACCACCGGACGCGCTTCTCACTTTGCCTGAAGATAGCAATGATTGGCCGATGGATTGGTCTTCCTTTTTATTTGACGGTCCAATGAGCTTCTAAAATACGGAAATATGATATTGCTGTGAATACTGGCTTTAATAGAAAGTTCATAGTACTAGGCTTACTAGCTAGACCGTAGAGTTAGATTCTAGTGTATCTATTCTCTATTTGCACATTGGTGAAGCATTCAGGAAATTATCGCTGGTATACAAACCTAGTAGGCAAATGATAAATCTCACTATTCTATAGAATCAGTGTAAAGGTTAGGGATTGCCCCCATCAAAGAAACACGGTCTATTAATTCCCCCGACGGATGAACTCGATATTTGGTGTCTCGGCAAAGTTACGGCTCTCGGGTTTGCCGCTTCGGCCATTTTGTGTCGCATATTTTCTTCTAGGACTTTTATATAAATTGAACATAAGATTCTCATCTCAAATAATTCCTCCAGATCACTCATTAGTAAAGAACAAATATACTATGGCATCCAATCCGAACACCACCGGAGGCGTGCAACTGACGTTCCTCACAACGGGAACGGTACGCATTAGACCCTCAATGCGCTCGCAACCATTGAGCAAAATCCCGATTCTTCGACGTCTCCGAGCAATTTGCGACAGAACATGGACTGAGCCATTGCCAGTCGGGGTATTCCTCATTCGCCACCCCGAAGGTCTCTTCCTCATGGACACCGGGCAATCTCCATGCTGCAACGACGCCGGATATCTCCCACGACTGGCTATTTTGAACGGCTTCCTAAGCGAATTCATCATCGAGCACCAAGACGGAGTCCTTGAGCAACTTCACAAGCTCGGAATCAAGGCGACTGACCTCAAAGCCGTGATTCTGACCCACCTGCACAACGACCACGCGGGCGGATTAGAGGATCTGGTTGCGGAGGCACCTGACCTACCTATCTACATCAGCCGTGAGCACTGGAATGCTTTTGGGGAACATCCTCTCTTTGCAAGCATGGAGGGAGCCACACCCAATCATTGGCCAAAGGGGTTCTCGCCGAAGATTGTGGACCTGCAGGACAGACCACTTGGACCCTGGAAGCAGTCTTATCCTGTGACAGAGGATGGTAGAATTGCCATCGTTGATACGTCGGGTCATGTTCCTGGGCATATTAGTCTGGTGATTTACGGCGACGGGGAAGATGGACAGAGTCAGGTTACATACTTCCTCCCTGGAGACGCAACATATGGCTTGGACCTTTTGGACAAGGAGCAGCCCGATGGGATTAATGACGACCCTATGCGTGCTTACGAAACGCTGAAGACTATCAAGCAGTTTGCTAAGGAGACTGATGTGGTTGTCTTGCCTAGTCATGACATCAACACACCTCGCTTGCTTGCTGAGCGAGTAGTCTACCGGCCTCTTGAGAAAGAGTGATCGTGTTTCAATACCATGTACAATATTGTGTTATTTGAGGGAGGAAGCTATGTACTAATATCGGACTAATGTATCTGAAAGGGAAGAAATTAGAATATTTTCGCTTTTGTAACGAAGTAGCCTGCATAATATCCGACTGCATACTGCTCTATCTGTATGAATCCTGAAAATCTGAAGCCACCAGCTCCGCCGATTATGGAAACAACAGTTGCCTTCTCCACAGGGTCTACTCTTAGTGCGGAAAGAAACCCGAACTCGGACCGAGCTCACTGTGGCAAAGCCGATACCGACTGCCGACTTCCATCTAGCGGCGCAAAGCCAGTGGCGAAATCATGGCCGAAAGAACATGAGCCGCTCGCCACCCGGTTTTCGGTAAGAACCCGTGGAAATCAATAATTAAGCATAACCTGAAACAATAGGAGATTAAAATAGCCGGAGATTTAACATATTCAGAATCCCTATAACGTAGCATATAACGCTTCACAACCCAAAATTCCACCGTGACATAAAAGCTCATTGTAATAGTCAGAGCGACAGGCGGGCAAGGGGGATCAGTTGTATCGTCATTTCTGAAAGCCGGAGGATGGAATATCCGTAGCCTGACCCATAATACCGAGAGCGACAAGGCGAAGGCCCTCGTCGTAAAGGGATTCGAGATAGTGTAGGCGGATATCTTAGATCTAGCGAGTCTTGAAACAGCCTTTCATGGTACCTGTGCGATATTTGCCACGACGGACTACTAGGAGAACTTCTGGACGAAATTCTGGTCCATAGAGATCGGGTATACGTAAGGTAAAGTAGTTAGCAACATGCAAGAGAAGAGAAAGATGATATGAAGGATTGGCAAAACTAGGTGAGAGGAAAAATATATATCGAAGGGGATGGCAGCCATCAATCAAGTCATGTAGCTGGACCAGTTCTAAGACCCTTCTCGACGACCTCAATATCTCGGAGCAGTTCCTCCGCGGATTCGTATTCCTTCAACCAACACTTCCAAGTAATAGCACTGCACGCATGTGAATCCCGTGGGAACTGCTGCTTTTCAAACCTCTGTTCATACCACCCATCTTCCCCATCGACAATGTCAGGAAACACCGAATACCCCATCATGATCAAGTAGATAGTACAACCCAGCGCAAAGAGATCTGTTTTGACATCCGCATCAAAAGGATCGGCCCGAGGGCAATAGGATCTGACGGGCTCCCCGCTTCCATCAAGCAGTACTGTTCCATCGCTCGATAGTTGTTTCCCTTGGAAATCCGACAGCTTGATATGAAGATCCTCATCGAGGAGAATATTTCCAGGCCGGATATTGCAGTGAATGATGCCCTGAGCATGGATCCATGCAACTGCCTCGGTAGCCTCTCGACACCAGGATAACTGCTGCTGGATCGAAGGGGGGGTGTTGTCTGATTCGAGGAGATAGTAGCCTAAGGTTCCGTTTACAGCTCGCTCGAGGTAGAGCCCCTTGTCGGAGAAGCCCCTGAATCCTATGATCGTTCATGGGACCCGACAATTTCGAAAAGCTTTTTCTCGAGATTTCGAGCCGACTCATGTCTCCGCCAGGGGCGAGAGGAAGTTTCATGACCGTCAAATCATCCACTTCTCCAATGAACGCACTGCTTCCCGAGGCGATGACCTTCTTCACCCCTGGGGGGCAGTAATGTCTGTGTATAATAACTTCTGTGTCGTCTAACATGGCGAGTCAAGGGAAGAAAAGAATGTTATATGGATAAAAGGGTTGGTAAGTTCAGTATTTGATGAAGAGGGTTGGAGACTAGTCAAGGTTCGCGTCATGTTGTTCAAGACAGGGGGCTGAAACGGGTGACAATGAAATGATTGGCTGGGCTTTAAGTACTCAGTATATAATTCACAATAAACAATAATAAACCTAGAAAGCGAAATAACTATATAGTGAAGAGGGGACCACTGAGGGGCACCGACAGCCCTGCCTGCGAAACAAGTGTGAGAGCAGAGTCGTCACTGGGAGTATTAGGGTGCTAGAGAGGAGAACACCTTGGGGTGACTAGTGAGAATGGAAGTGGAAAGGTGTCTGCGTTGCTATCTAGTTATGCCTCGGGAGTGCTTTTATGTCACATAGCCGCTTAGTCATCCTGCTCTGGAAACCCCCACTGCAATAAGTGACCCTAGGTGTGTTATAGTAACATAGCTCTAACACGGCTCTTGAATGACCCAGTCGCCTGATGTTGAATCACAACAGGGCCCTTACGAATAAGATGTGATTCCTAAGTTGTTATCGAGAAATAACAGGTATTAGTGATTTAGTTAGTTATTCAATTTTTGATTATCAAATCCTTAGGATCTTCGGATACCTCCGGGACTAGTGGGATCCAGTAGGCTGCAGATGCATCTTTGCTGAAGTAAGCCTCGCTCTAAATAAAGTAGGAGATTATAGGTTGAAGTATTGAAAATTGATAAACGAGAGAGGGGCTGTGGGCTTGGCGTGAGGCTGAGCGGAGATCGCTGCCTGCAGGGCTGATAGATTTCAGCTTCCTATAAATATTTACCAACTCCAAAATATCGCCAAAGTTCTCACACACCAAGTCTTCACAAACCATCATGGCTCCCCTAAAAATACTGGTCACGGGCAAATCATCCGTCACCCATGCCCCAGAACTTGGCACCCTCAGATTCTCAGTAAAGGGAAATGGCTCCGAGCAAGACAAAGTCGCCAAGGAAGTGTCAAGTCTATCGACCAACCTACAAACCTGGATCAAATCAGCCTTTCCCTCTGCCGACAATGAGCCCGATGCCCCTATGACAAAATTCTCATCCACGAGCATCAGAACCTGGACAAAGTCAACAGGTAGACACGACCAGCCCTTGCCAAACCCATACCATGCCAGTATATCATTCAAAGCCGTCTTCCGGGACTTCGCAGAGTTGAACCACGCGATCGAAGAATTGCTGGTTTATCCCAAGGTGGAAATCGACAGCCTGGATTGGGGTCTCACCGACGAAACCGGCAGACGACTGGCTTCAGATGCGCGCAAATTGGCACTGCGCGATGCTATCCAACAAGCTGCTGATTACTCGGAAGTGCTCGGATGCTCTGTTTCCGTGGTGGAAATTTCCGACCAACAAGCGAGTCCCTACAGGACTAGACACCTTTTGGGTGCTTGCAATAGTACTACTCCCTTTGGGGATGACTCTCCGGCGCTGGACCTCACGCCTCAGGATATTGATGTCGAAAGCGAGATCAGTGTCACTTTTGAAGCTGAAACTGTTACACGCAGTGCACCTCAAACCTCATTCTAAGTACGAGGACGGAAAGAAAAAGAGAAACTATCTATGTGCGCGTTCTTCCCCTTCTATGTCCCTGAGTTTGCATTCGATGCAAAACTCGCCATTGTCTCGCTTAATCTCGTTTGTCAGTTTGGGAAGGCGCGAGGGCGAGAGCATGGTCGTTCCTGCCCGTTTGGCAAGTACGATCCTTCCCAGATCGTCACAGAAACCACAAGTTCCATTAGTTATAAGTCTTAGTTAACTAGCATTAAAGACCTCCCAAATGATAGTGCTGGAGCCTCCGGAAATAGAATCATGCAATCAACTTATTTACATTACAATGTTTAGAGAAGACTACTTTTGCCCCTCTCAATAGCAATAGCTTCCCGAGTGTATGACTTGCTTCTGTCACCATTGCACCACGTACTCCGGAACTTGGGCCACTTTGTTCGTAATGCTTGGAATGGGTGTCCCAACAGACTCCCGGACGGGAAGGTGTCCTTACTCGGGTCCGTTGGCAGAAAATCCACTGTTCAGGTCAAGGTGCATGGTCACATAATGAGAGGAGTGGTCATTTTATATATATAAGAACAAGATGACATATGGCCAAGATGACATATGCCTGCATACGCCATATGTCATCTTAAGATCGTTTGATAGTTTGTTTACCTGCTTTAGGGTTAGAAGGAAAAGAGGCAGGTACCATAGGTGGGGCGATTGCGGCGACGACGCTAGTAGATCCCTGTGGAGGTGGGTGAATCCCAAGTTAGAAGGAGGACAGGGCACGGATATCAGAAGTCCGCCGGGAGTCCGCCGGGCCTCCGCCGGCGGCTCGGCCCAGCCCCGGCCCGGCCTCGGATGGACTATCCTATTCTAGCATAGAAGGAACCTATCGTAGTATCACTATAGTCACCAAAGTAGGGGTATTATTTCGCCTTTGTCCAAAATGCTGTGACCCATTCTCGACAACATAGCCATGACTGCAGATGGTGATATTCTTATACGTATATTTTTTATAAGCCCACATTAAACCGTGATAATCTCGTGGCCGTCCCCCTGCTGCCTGTCCAAATGCTCGCATTTAGGCTTTCTTTACCCTTTTTCTATCTCTCTACATCCGCTGATACAAATTCATGCCACACTTAAAGTATCGCGCCATAATAAGCAGGAGACAACCTATCATCATGGATGTCCCACCGAAGAGCTGCGCATATAGATACTGACCCCCGTCGAGATCGATGAGGGCTCCTGCGATCGGAGGCCCTGTCAAAGAGGCGATACTAACAATAGAAAAGATCATCCCGATACGGACACCGGCCTTGCTCGGTTCATCCGTCAAGCTCGCTACCGCCGATGGAAAGAGACTCTGCACACCGCCGCCGAAGAAGCCGTAGACCACAGCAAAGGCCGTGAGACCCCCGTAAGAGTCAATGGCAGCCCAGCAGTATAGTAGGATGGCCGCTATGGCGCTGACTGGAATAAATGCGTTGACGGGACCACAGTACCGGTCCGAAAGGTACGCTGGGATTAGACGGCCAGGCAAGCCTAGTCCGTTCATGATCATCAACATGGAGAAGGAGGTGTAATCAGAAACACCTATGATATCTCGACTAAACGAGCGGACCTGGATATGTTCGTCAGTTAGGATGAATCACACAAACAAACAGAAAAAAAACATAACGTGGGCCGAACTAACATAATAATAGGCATAGTAGACGGCCCAGAAGCAGAAAAACGTCCCTAACGCGAAGAAAGTGTAGGAAAGATTGGTGAACGCTTTGAACTCGATCAATGGGCCTAATTTGCGCGGAGGCAGCCGCTGCCGCACACAGGCCATGATAACCACTGCATTGAACAGGAGCACGAAGCCCATGACACGGATAGTCCAGGGAAAGCCGATGCGGTGTAGGAGGGTCTGCGCGATGGCGGGAAAGACCAGGCCGCCGGTGGCTCCACCACACGCGGAGATAGAGATGGCTATTGTGCGCTTCCGCGTGAAATAGGTGGACATCAAAGCGACGATAGGACAGAATAGCAGCCCATCCCCGATGCCCTGACAGATACCTTGAGAGAGCAGTAGCTGCCAATAGCTAGTCGCCAGCGAGGTCATAAAGACGCCCAGCAACTGTAGGAACAGGCCCGTGACCAAAGTGACGCGGAGATAGCCCGCGTCCATGGCTCGGCCGGAGAATGTTCCTAGGAAGTAGACGAAGAAGATCTGTAGGGAACCGACCCAGGAGATATCCGCGGCATTGCGATTTAGAGCCGTGGTATAGTAGGACTGGAAGATGCCATAGGAAGTGATGTAACCCCAGACATTGAAGACAATCAGATGGCCACACAGGACTTGCAACCATGCCGTGAGCCCTCCGTCTGGGGCATCCTCGATCAGAGGCGTTTTGGGGGGAGATTCCTGGACACCCTCCTGGATATCGACAGATCCCATGGTGCGAGGGATTCACGTTGGGGATGGTGGAATTCCCTCGCGTGAGAAAATAGTGAATAAAAAGGTGGAGCACGAAGGAAACCGGATAAAGCGAAATATTAGGAAGAGAAGAGTGACTGAGCTCGATAAATTACTTTTAATTTAATGCCAGGTCGTGCAAATGCCGGAAAGCCATTAGGTCGGGATCTATACATGCTAGTATGGGTGTATCGCGAAAGACAAGATTAGCGAATTACCGATTGAACTGGAGAGAAAATGAACAGTATTGTATAATGGCTCTTATTACTGGGGTGATTCATCGAGGCACAGCATATGCTACTTACTATTCAGTCAGACATAAGATTCCTACCACAACATGTAGTCAAACCCCGTGAAATCGACCCCACTCTTTTACAAACCCCGACCACTTTCGAAAAGGGCTGGACCTTTTTTTACCGTAGTAAAACCCGGAGAGTGTCAAGGCCGCCTTATTAGGTGACTCAAAGGATAATAACGTGCGGTTATCGTTCACACAGGCTACGTTGGCCTTCCTACATGATGCGACGCGGGGAAATCTCCTCACAACACCTCCGACAGGCGGAGCGGTTACAGACCGTAGTGGAGAGTGCATCACAGAGCTGACAGGGCTCCTCAAGAGCGTTGAATTTGCCCGTTATTAAATGAGAAAAAAAAGCCTGAAATTAACAGTCACAGTATACTCCGAGTCCCCGCAAAGAGAAAAACACTGCGCCAAGGCGGGAAAGTTCCGCCAAGGACCTCGGCATCCACTGAAAAGAGAACTACGTTCCGATTTTAGGTCTACAACTACTTTATTTCAGCAGCATAAGACTGATATTCACAATGGTTCTTGTTCACATTGGTATGGTTAAACCACGAGAACAACCAATTACTTAATTAACCTCAACAGTTCTGTTCAAGTTTCGCAAGGACGTCGGAAACGAAGTGAAGGAGGAGTTCCTTTCCCAAATTAAGACACTCAAGTCCTTGCCCTGTGTTATAAGCCAGAGGCTTGATGTTGGAGGTCCCTCAATCACAACCCCAATTGAAAAGAGCAAGGGATTTGACTATGCTCTTGTGAGCTACCACGAGAATCGAGCAGCATTGGCTGAGTATCAAGCTAGCAGTGAACATGAAAGGTAAGCGATACCCCTTGAAGCCTCGAAATTTTGGTAAATAACGGGAGCTCATGGTTTCTAGGATCACAAGCACATACTTTATTCCTTATAAAGAGGATTTGGTTCGGTTTGACTTTGAGACCGATCAAGCCGATGAATAAGTCTTAAAGTCTGGGGATTGTTACAGGGACCCCCCTCATTGTCGATTCGACCCCCTATGTCTGATTGATTAGGCCTGATTACGCTTTACACATAAGGCATAGATTTAATTCTGCCAGAGTTAATTCTACATTCTACAGTGACTGGACATAAGTTTCTACACCCTATAGCCCCACCCAGTTCACCGCAACCATATTAGTATACCGCCTACCTAAAACGCGTAGTACAAGACCCTACAATATGAATTCATGGGGGTTTCGACCGGCAGTATATTATATAATCATAGGGGAGTGGGGCTAGGGGTGTAAAAACATATGTCCACTGACTGGACCTCTCGTTCGAATGGGTCTGGTGATGGCGCAGGCTCCAGGTGTTCGATGCTAATGACTGGATGGACTTTCCAGCTCTGCGGTAGGTCGAGCTTATAGGCCAAGCGACCTACTCGCTCGAGGATGGTGAAGCATCCGGCGTATTGCTGCCCCAGCTTTTTCGTAAGGGCGCCGTTCAAAGGGTATGTTGTACCCTTTCCACAGTCGCAAGAAGACTTCGTCTCCTACTGCGAAGTGTTTCGGTTTGTGGGTATTGTCGTAGTGCTCTTTCATCTTCGTCGCTGCATACTTCAGGTATTCCGACGCGTCTTGCCGCGCTGCGTCTGTGGAATTTCCGGTCGAATTAGCGATGATGGGGGGTCCCTGTAATAATCCCCTTCTGTATCTCCTTGCTCAAGCCATTCAATACTGATGTAGATGCCGACTGCAAGAGAGAAGCGATCAACGAGAAAGCGATGATATGAAGATGGATCGAAGATGATGATCTAGCTACTGCCATGAATCTCTCTATATAGCTCCATGCTACAAAGCCACCAGATCCCATCCTCTAGAAATCAGAAGAAGCATCTTTCTAGGTATACAAAGAGAATCCCAACACAGCAAGCTGAACGGCAAGCTATCTGCGAGTGAAGTGAAAGAAAGGGAAAGGCTTTATCGAGGTCACCAGTTACCAAGCATTCAGCAACTTCAGCTATCAGAGCCAACCATGCAGTCGTCGATGTCAGGCCAAGCGCCAAGCCAGGCTTTCCAGTCGAACAAGCGGCGAAGACTTGTTCCTACAATTGATCCTGATATGATCGAGCTACTTAACCGCTTTTCGGATATGCTCACTGATATGAACAGCGATGATCCTGTCATTCGATCCCGTGCGGCCGCGCAGCTTACAATACTATCTCCTTTAATGCAACAACTCACCTTTGCAAAGACCGCCACCGGCGTCCATGAATGCTGCAAGGGATTTCAAAGCCCTTGGAGTGGCCTGTACTATTCTAGATATCACACAAGGAATGCGTCAAATACAGTGTGCATCACACATGCATATTGGAACGAAGTATCCCGGTGCCTTCAAAATGCACCCAATTATATTGTTACTAAAAAAGAAGAGCAAATTTAGTCCGACCTAAAGTGTGTCGATGAGATCCGCAAGTCATTGGCCCCAACTGCCAGTCTCTCTACTTTGTCTACTCGCAAACGCCGCCGCGAGGAACCCGAATAATGATACTCGCAAGACAAAGTCGTTGCCCTCTGAGATGCTTCACCTGGGGTTCCTCTAGCTCTTCTGCTTGTTCTCCTTCTTCAATCTCTTATTTCAAAGCTTTGTTTATTTGGTGTTCTCCTGAGACTCAAACTGTCATTTTTAGTCTACGCAGTACCATGGTTTGAAGGAGGGCGGCAAGCCCCTCCCCTAGGTGGCGTGAGGGGTTGTCGTGCCGACAGCGTTCCTCTGTTGTTTTGTCCGATTTCTTCCCTCCGAGAACCTGAGCTAGGTGAGATGAATGATACCGGATGTACCATATATGCAAGGCGAGGATGGCATTCCTCTGGGGCCTTTTGACCGTTTTTGCTTCTGTACTGGCCTCGGCATTCCATGTCCTTATTATTTTCACACGCGCAATGCGGAATCGCTATTGTATGCTCCAGGGCTGACAGGTTAGATTACAAAGCACATCTAGTTAATTAATGACTACCCACCATTAGGGTTCCTTGCTGTTTTATGTACTTTACTTTCTTGACAAGTAGCAAACGCGCTACATGTGGTGCCCTTGATGGAAATGGATCTTGACAAAAGACGAACTGAAATCCTCCGTTCCTACAACACAATGGCTAGGTGATTTCCTGATTGGGAAATATATCCCTTTATCCTCCTCGTCCAATGATTCCACGCCATAATTCAAGCTCCAAGGAGGAGTCGGCTCCTTCTCGGATCGGCCGCCAATGTTTCGGCCCGATCTTGAGCTCTTTCCCGCTGTCGGCATCTGTGCCGAGCAGGCGCCTTCTACTCCGATCGCTTTGACTAGGACGCTTTGAGCCGCACCCCACAGGGTTATGCTGATCGGGGCGAATCGGAGCCCCTCCATCATTGACCAGCTCATGAACAACCCAGCCTGCCTGATGATTCCAAAGTCCAATCCGAGGCGCTAGGTATCAAGAGGCGAACTAATCATGTTACAGTTCTTCTACAAGAGTTCAGTGGATTTTGCTTCTTCTGTCCTGAAATCAAAGTCCAAGAGTGAGAGCCACAGAGATCCAGGTTGCTCCACTGATAAGCCCGAACCTGATCCGCCCGAATATGATCTGCGTCAAGCTCCTTGACTTGCAGTTGACCTGTTGATAGCAGCTGATGCTACTTTTGTACTTCTATTTTGTATTCTAGATAATCTAATTGTAATATCCCGGACATTGAGATTGACGATGACATATAGAATAAAGATTGACGCAAGTACAAGTATCATATTGCCCTAAATGGCCATATTGTTCCCGTCGTTCCGGTCAACCTAGGTAAAAGAGCCCAGCGGTAAAACCAGCCCCACATCCCCGCGGAGCCCCAACGCCGCCGATAACCGACCTCGGCTCATAGCGACCCCGTGATTTACATATGACCTTTATCTTCCTCCCGAGGTTACTCTTTTTCCCTTCCTTTTCTTCCTCGTAGCACCTTGAGCTTATTCCACACTTATATCACAATGGCTTCTATTATTCGTTCTTTGCGACCTTTGTCGCGTGCCCCTACAGTCCGCCTAGCGGGCAAGCGCCTCGCTGCTGGCCGGCCCGTGCAGAGGTACCGTTTTGCCCATGAGCACATCAATGCTATTCAAAACAAATTTGCTAACCAGTTTACCCCCATTATAGCGCGTATGCATTTTCCACCACACCCCGCCGGCGGGAGGTCGACATCTCCGAGCTGACCCCGACACCCATCACCCATTTGTCTGAGACGGAGTCTCTGATGGCCGACTCGGTATCGAAGTTCGCCGCGGAGCAAATTGGCCCCAAGGTACGGGATATGGACGAAGCCGAGCACATGGATCCCAAGGTCGTCGAGCAGCTCTTCGAGCAGGGCCTGATGGGCATTGAGGTGCCCGAGGAGTTCGGTGGCGCTGGCATGAACTTCACCGCTGCCATCGTCGCGATCGAGGAGTTGGCACGCGTCGACCCCAGTGTCAGTGTGCTGGTCGATGTCCACAACACACTCGTCAACACCGCCATCTTGACGCACGGAGATGCCCAGTCTCACCGTACCTGGTTGCCCAAGCTGACTTCCGGCACTGTTGGTTCGTTCTGTCTTTCCGAGCCCGCGTCTGGTTCCGACGCCTTCGCGCTCCAGACCAAGGCCGAGAAGACCGCCGATGGTTATAAGATCAACGGCTCTAAGATGTGGATCACCAACTCTATGGAGGCTGGTATCTTCATCGTCTTTGCCAACATTGACCCCAGCAAGGGCTACCGCGGTATCACTGCTTTCATTGTCGAGAAGGATACCCCCGGTTTCTCCATCGCCAAGAAGGAGAAGAAGCTCGGAATCCGCGCTAGCAGCACCTGTGTGCTCAACTTCGACGACTGTGTCATCCCCAAGAGCAACCTGCTCGGCACGGAAGGACAGGGATACAAGTACGCCATCAGCACCTTGAACGAGGGCCGTATTGGTATCGCAGCTCAGATGACCGGTCTGGCCCTCGGTGCATGGGAGAACGCCGTACGGTAAGCTTTCTTGTACACTCTACACCCGCATATGAATCCGATAAGCTGACCAAACCAAAGATACGTCTGGAACGACCGTCGCCAATTCGGCGACCTCATCGGAAACTTCCAGGGTATGCAGCACCAGATTGCGCAGGCCTACACTGAGATTGCCGCTGCCCGCGCTCTCGTCTACAACGCCGCCCGCAAGAAGGAGGCCGGCCAGGACTTCGTCCAGGACGCCGCTATGGCTAAGCTCTTCGCTTCCCAGGTTGCCGGCCGCGTGTCCAGCTCTGCTGTTGAGTGGATGGGTGGTATGGGCTTCGTCCGTGAGGGCATTGCTGAGAAGATGTACCGTGACAGCAAGATCGGCGCTATCTACGAGGGTACCAGCAACATCCAGCTCCAGACCATTGCCAAGATTCTGCAGAAGAAGTACACCAACTAGACGTGTGATGGGGGTGATTACCTACGCCAAATGGCTTTGTTTGTATATAGTTTGATTCCATGCAGGATCTGGCGTATTGATTGTTTCTGGGTATGTATTCATTGTTCCCTTTGGGGTATACACAAAACATGAAGAGCCATCATGGGTCATCCCTGTGACCATTTCGAATTCACTCCGAGATATATGAATGTCAAACTGTGTACAAGAAGAGTAAAGAGCAGACTGAGGCCATGCGAATGTGCCCAGCCTTGTTTGTATATCCAATTCTAGCAATCATCTTCTGGCGTCGGCTGAGCACCACTCATCGAGTCGCATATTGTAGATGGACCGTGCTCGGACAGCTTACTTCATTCGACAGGGCGATTATTTCTGTTATCATTTTTGTCGTTATTATTTATGCATGAAAGACAATTCCAATCGCAATTTCCGCGACGACTATGGAGTATTGCTTTGAGACCTATAGCAATGATCAGTATGCATCTTCGTATCGAGGTTCTTGAACGAAGCTCACATGACAGGAGACCAGATCGCCTGAACTCGCAAGGCATTGTGTTTCCACCGAATCAATATCCTTGAACAGCCCCGGTTGCTGGCACATGCGTTATTCACGATGGAGGCACCCATGGAAACTCGTATGTCGGATCCGTCCGTTGCGATTGAGGCATTGGTTGCGGGTAAGCTGATGTGGAGGGTTGGTAGACTTGGGCGGAAGTGGGCTGAGGAACGGGACTGGCACTCGACATGGAAAGTGACCGATCGCTGTAAGTGAATTCGGAGAAAGAGGATTCGGATTGTTGCTGAGGTGGGCAGATGGGTTGTCCTTGGTGAATTCGACTATCTATGGGATATGGCTCCATACGATTCGGGAATTCGGGATTGGAGGCTGCGCCGAGCGACGGCGACCTTGTGGGCGGATATGGTTGCTGCCAGTCATGCTGAGGAGACGCTCGACGCGGTACTAACAGGCTCGATGGCTGGGTGTGGGATGTTGCAGTGAAGTGTGGCGGTGGCAATGCCCCTGCTGGAATACCCGATATTGCACTATTCCGGGGTTCTCCCAAAGACCACTCACTTCGAAACGAAGCCATCGGTTCGTTACTGGAGGCAAACTCCGGTCGGCCAGTCAAAGCAGCAATTTGATGCTTCAATCGGATGACTTCATTCTCCAGAAAGGCATTGTGTTGCACGACTTCATCGAACCGCTCGGTTCGGAGCCGCATCTCCTCAATTTGTGACTCAAGATGTTCTATATGCTCCTTGGTGCGTTGGCGAATGGACCGTTGAGCCTCTCGATCGTTGGCACGCTTTCGCTCTAGTTGTTCCGCGGACAATGTCGAGACTTTCCTTGACCCCGATCGAGATTCACGTCTCCTCGCAGGTGGTTCATCTTGAGAGCTCATGATTATTGGTTTCCTCGCACACCCAAGACTCGATATAAAGCTCCCCTCCGTTGCCCAGAACCTTTCAAAGAGAACCCCCCGCTGGCGACCATGAACCCAGCACTTCAGCCTAACATGAGGGGAAGTGGTGGATCACTGGTTTTGAAAGATGGCGTGTGGGTGGCTCGAGACTATTTCCGAGCGGAGCAGGGATCAAGGAAGAGAGAGCGTGACAGATCGTGCCAATTCAGGGCTAGATTAGCTTGGACGACTATACGGTGTGGGGAGGAAAATAAAGATGATGTGCGTGGTATAGCCATGGATCCTTTCAGGGCGTGATTATAACCTTCCCAGCAACCGAGTGGCTGAATAAGACCTGAATACTGTCCCCCTCTTCAACACGACACCTCATTTTCTCCAGATTGCTTAACAAGCCAGGCAAATCTCCCCGATGATGCGGCGAAAGCGAGACTCTAAGCCGACCCCTAAGCACCCAATAAGCGTGGAGAGATCGAACTGTGTGGATAGCTACGGAGTACTCCGTACGGGTCATGAATATAGTGTTTTCTTTCCAGCCACTACGGTGAGCCGCCCCCATCGCGAGGTCCGCTTTTTTTCGACTCCTGCTCCCACTTACTCAAGGGTCTTCTGTTGGCGCCAAGCCGTGCGCCATAATGATGGGCATTTATGGGGTGCTCCGTACTCCGTACCGTGTACTCCTTTTCCGTTCTGTGTGCTGGCTGAGCGATACAAGTTGAGTGTTGTTCCGTCAAGCCGGGGCGCACAGAAAAAGTACTAAAAAGACGGCTTGCGCCATAAGGCATTCACAGACCATCGGTGATGATCCGCGTCTTTGTGGAGATAGCGTCCTTGTGGAGATATGTACGGAGTAAAAGGCGGACGAGAATCCTTTGGCCCCCGATGGTCCCCGAGAATGTCCAGGTATCCACGGGCCCCGGAGAATTATTTGCACAGTATAAGCAGACTAACATCTTTAGAAGAAGGGCATCTGATGTTGTTAGACTGATTGTTTGAAAGGCATTTGTCCGCAATAGCCGCAAGGTTTTGACACTTCTATTATCGTGGTCTTATGTTCACCCGAAGGACTTTAGCGGGGGATTGCAATTTTATTATTCGAGCACCACCGTGTCCGCTCTGACGGGAATTGAGAAACCGGATGACCTCTGCATTTTGATGTTTGATGCGTCTAAGGATCTTATTGACCATTTAGGGGATTCTACCTATTCTGGAGACTTAATTAGACCATTCCGGAGACATAGTTAGAATCACTCCCCCATAGATGCTGCGCCTTGCTCACTCGAAATCTGCCAGAGCATAACTCATGCTTACCGACGTTTAATAATTGACTGAAACGTATACAAGCGACACCGACATGTCCAGCATACGTTGTACATGATCGCCATGATGTGGAGGTATGCAAGTGGGGAATTGGGCACGGTCATGAAAATGCTACACAGTAGACCTTACGAGTTTAAGCGGCGTGTATGCGGACGTTTGCACTGGTTTAAGACACGGTCCGTGACCTCCGGTCGATCATATGGATCTGATGTCGGCGTTATTCGCCGTGAGCCCTAACCGAGTAGCCACTCTTGAATTTACCATATTGGCCAACCGTCCCGAATATATTCTAGTCGGTGAGAATAAAAACGCGCACAAAGTATTTGATTGGATGAGGAATGATTCGTGTTCATGACGGGTGGCAAGGAAGGTGACTGTCATAAAGTGAGGAAAATGTTATAATTTGGCTGAGATGTCCTTGGCGAAGCTGACAACCCTGTTAGGGACATCATCGGAGATTGCTTACAACAATAGAATGGCCCAACAGAAGTACGGAGGACCTACGTAGGTGCTACTATGTATCGGTCTTCGCCCCATATTGGGTGATAGACTAGGACTATTGGGCGAATCATATCAATAGGATATGGCCTCGAAGCATCTTGCAGGGATTTCTTGAAAATCTGAGTTCTGACATGCTGCTATGCGTTTCTTCCAGATCATTCTCCTCTGTAAATCGCTGCATGTTTTCAATGTAAATGATCGCACTAACCTATGCCCTAAAACTTCTAGAAGTTTCCCCCGCCGGATCAAAGCCTCCGGAGATATGGCCACGAGAAGGAATTCTCAGCAGGAATAACTACTAGAAGTATAGCCATAACATCCATCTAATTTTGGCCATGTATTTGGACCCCTGATATATTTTCACATGAAAAAAAGACTCTGAGCAGGCGAATTACCGCATGCGGTTAGTCTGACTTCCCAGGAACTGCCCCACAATTCACGTGATATCAAGCGAAGATAGTGGGTCTTAGATGGCCAATCACATAATGCATACCAGACTTTAGGACAATCTTAAATGCTTGGCAACAAATCTCTTCTTTGTCAAATGTAAACTTGTAATGATTCACATCATCAAGCATCAGTCTAAACTTTTGCTAAACTAGAAGAAACTAGGAAGAAAGATTACACTCACTCACACCTTCTCTTTGTCTTGTTTTGTCAACAAACATTAACATTCATTCACTCGCCACTTCGAGTTTGAATTTTCATCAAAGCAATTAACTGCAGTTTCTTGAAGAAATATAAGCCTCGACCATCATGGAAGGTCTTCAACTCAAAGATACTCAGCTGTACTCAACTATGGCTGGGAAGCTGGATGCCAGGCTCCTCAAAGCCCTTGAGGTGATGGGCTTCACCAATATGACCCCTGTCCAGCAGCGTGTTTTAAACGAGCTGCCAAGTTGGCGCAGTGACTGTCTTGTCCAAGCCAAAACCGGAACTGGAAAAACCCTTGCTTTCTTGTTGCCTGCATTGCACTGCCTGCTTCAAGGTGATACCGCGCCACCCAAAGGCAAGGTCGGCATCTTGATCATTACCCCAACCCGAGAACTTGCCCAACAAATTGCCAAGGCGTGTGATGAACTAACCTCGCAACTTCCCACTCCTCTTGAGTGCCATGTTGCAGTCGGTGGAACAGCCCGAGCATCCGCTCATTCGCGCTTCATGAAGGGCGCACCTTCCATTCTTGTCGCCACCCCGGGACGCCTGTGCGACTACCTTTCTCAAACTCCCACCGCTAAGAAGTTGTCTAACATCCAGACATTGGTCTTGGATGAAGCCGACACGATGCTTGAGAGTGGCTTTATCGCTGATGTGAAGCGCATCCTCCAACTGATCCCACAAAAGAGCACTGGGTGGCAAGGCATGTGCTTCTCAGCCACTGTCCCACCCAAAGTCAAGGATGTGGTCAATATTGTGTTGAAGAGAGACTACACCAGCATTTCCACCATTGATAAGAACGAAGCACCAACCCATGAGAGAGTTCCCCAGTACTACGTGCTGATGCCATCTGTGGCAGATACCTTCACTACACTTGCCTCCCTGCTCAAGCATGAAATCAAGACTAGCTCAAAAATTATCGTTTTCGGCGTGACTGCACACATGGTTGCTCTCCTCGCAGGAGTCTTCTGCAAGGGCATGGTTCATTTGAAGGTGTTCGAGATCCACTCCAGACTCAACCAGGGTGCTCGCACAAGAACCACCAACCAGTTCAAGGAAGCCGAATCCGGAATCCTTTTCGCTTCAGATGTTATTGGTCGTGGTATGGATTTCCCCAACGTCGACTTGGTCATCCAGGTCGGTTTGCCATCGAACGGCGAGCAGTACGTTCACCGCGTCGGCCGTACCGCCCGTGCTGGCGCTGACGGTCGCGCTATCATTCTCCTCACGGAGGGCGAGTCGTTCTTCATCAAGAACAACCGCCAGTTGCCCATCAAGCCCCATCCCGACTCCGAAGCGATCAATGCTGGCGCTGCTTCATGCTCCAAGGCTGTCCTAGCGGCCATGTACACCATCGACGAAGAGTCGAAGCAACGTGCTTACTCGTCTTTCATTGGTTTCTTCGCTGGGTCCGGTCTTCTGAGGCAGCTTCGTCTCGACAAGGCTGGCCTTGTTCAACTCGCCAACGAGATGGCTGTCAAGGGCATGGGATGCCCCGAGCCTCCCCCAATGGACAGAAAGGTCATTGGCAAGATGGGCTTGAAGGGCGTTCCGGGTTTCACCTATGCAGACCCCAATGAGATGAACCGAGGAGGATCCTCTAGACCTCGCAACTCTTCCCGAGGTGGCAAGAATCGCGATGCACTCAGCCCTGGAGCTGGTCAAGGAGACCGAGGCGGCGTTGAGAAGCGCGGAGGAGGGCGCGGAGGCCGTGGTGCACGTCGTGGTGGTGGCGGCGGACGTGGAAAGCCGAGATCATGATCTTTTTGCATATTGATGTCGAGCACAGCGTGCTAAAATGTTATTATCCATAGACACTAGAGACTAACGACCTGCTACACAAAATTCCTTAATCGAAACCAAAATTACTTGCGAACAGTTGCCGCATCTTGATGTAAAGTTGTAAAAACCAACCTGGAAGCTAGCCACGGTACTCACCATTGCTTTGAGTCCACAAGATTCCGACTTAATTGACACAGTGTCATTATTGATCTTGACAGTTGTTCTTGGGGATACTAAAATGGTCAGGTGATCACAAGAAACACACATTTAGAGCTTCAACACTCTACCATTCCACCACGTCATTTTTAACTTGGAACATTTCAGGGCGATCAGCTATCCATATTGATAACTGCCCAATATGGATCCGAGCTACAAAGCTCGCAAGGAGGCTTTTGTGTCTAATCTTGCGGGAAGCACAATCCTCGAGATCAATGCAGTGACACTCGTTGCATCAGTGAGAAACCTCAAGACTTTATCTTGCAATTTATACATTCTGACCTGTGACCACTCTAGACTTCTGTCCTCCTTTGGTCAGCGCTCCAGTCTCGTCTATCCTTCTTCACGCCCTACAGTCCTGCAGCGCTCGCGACCGACTTCATCCTCAATGTACTAGCCATCTTATTCGCAACGACTGCATACTCCTCCGCACCGCTTCTCCTCAACATCTTCCTCATCTCCCCCGCGGTCCTCCTATTCCTCACCCGAAACGGCCTGCGAACACCCCAAAAAGCCAAACCTCCCCGCAAACCCAAGGCCAAAAATGAGAGCTCCCAGGAGGAGCAGCAGGCTTTGCCCATTCACCCATTCTTGACCACGTACCGTGCGGCCATGATGGTTGTCACCTGCATAGCTATTCTCGCAGTCGACTTCCGCGCGTTTCCACGTCGTTTTGCCAAGGTAGAGAACTGGGGAACATCTTTGATGGACTTGGGTGTGGGCTCTTTTGTGTTCTCGGCTGGAGTAGTCTCTGCGCGTGCGGTTTTGAAGGGCCGGGACTCGAAATCCCCAAAATTAGCTTTGCATAAGAGATTGATTGGGTCGGCTCGGCACTCCATTCCTCTGCTTGTGCTAGGCCTCATCCGACTGTGGAGTGTGAAAGGATTGGACTACGCGGAACATGTGACGGAATATGGTGTACACTGGAACTTTTTCTTCACGCTTGGCTTTTTGCCTCCTTTCGTGGAGCTATTCGACTCCTTGACTACATTGATTCCCTCGTATGAGGTACTTGCACTTGGAATTGCAGTACTCTACCAAGTCACTCTGGAGTCGACTGATCTCAAGGGTTACATTCTTGTGTCTCCTCGGGGACCAGATCTACTCTCCAAGAACCGAGAGGGAGTCTTTTCTTTCATCGGATATTTTGCAATCTTCCTCGCTGGACGGGGTGTTGGAGTCCGCATCATTCCTCGTGGTACCTCGGCCACAATATCGCCTCAGCAGGCACGGAGCTCTGTTCTGGTGTGCTTGGTTCTGCAGGGAATGTTCTGGTCTACCATGTTCTTCTTCAATTCCACCTACGCGTTTGGCTATGGTGCCAACATCCCAGTGTCGCGCCGGCTGGCTAACATGCCGTATGTGCTTTGGGTGTCAGCATTCAACAGCGCCCAGCTTTTCCTGTTCTGTCTGACAGAGACTGTGTTTTTCCCCGCGGTCCACCGTGCGACTAGCAAGGAAAGCGAATCAGAGCAGACGTCATTTGCGACCAGTCGGA